ACTTAACAACTGATCGTCATCAACCATTATCTCCATGCTGGGCATGTGGAGGTTGGCACTATAAGAAGTTCTGCTCGTATAAAGAACATTGTTGCAGTAAGTGTCGTCGAAAGTGCCATATATAAACCAGCTGTAGAAAAAGAAACCATAAACGACATTTAGCAAAACCTTACTTCAAGAAATACAGGTCTGGCGTATTAACAAAAAGAATACTGATATCACATAATCAAGCACAAAGTTGCCGCCAAAGAACGCACATAACCTTAGATATTAATAAACACCGTACTCGCCTTCAGCTTGATATAACTTTTGATATTACCCTAATCAGCCCAGAAACCTGGAGAAACATTGGAAGACCCACAGTTCTCCCGACAACACAAGTGGCACACAGTGCATCTGGGGGTAAGTTAGGTATTGTTGGACAAGTGCCATGCACTGTTTCTAAAGGTACTTTAACAACAAATGCAACAGTATATCTTACAAAGGAGCCAGCACTCGACTTATTGGGGTTAGATCTGATAGAAACACTTAAACTAGCAGACCGTTGTATTAATAGTATCTGTAGACGAATCAGGACTGACATAACCCCAGAGGAGACTCTTGGAGCAAATATAAAAGCCGAGGAAGAAGTTCATCGCGTATTGGATGATGCAATCAACGAACTCCCAGTAACCTTTGAAACTATCAAAAAGATCACTGAAAGTGAGAAGACAGTGAGCACAGTTTAATGCTATCTCTCGACCAAATGGCCAAACAACCGCCTTAACGGAGGACTTTTGCAATAGTTTCGTCGACGGGACTCACTAGTTGTTGTTGACTCGTGTATTATGTTCGGTGATCGAATTGTTATTCCGAAGTTATTACGTCACAAGGTTCTCAAGCAGTTTCACAGTGGCCATCCTAGAATCAATAAAATGAAATCGTTGGCTTGTAGTTATGCTTTTTGGCCGTCAATGGACAAAGATATCGAGAATAAATACCGTAACTGTCCATCATGCATTCAAGCCGCTAAAAATCTTTTGAAATGCGAACCTCAGTATTGGCCTACGCCTGCAGGACCCTGAGTAAGACTTCACGCAGACTTTGCTGGTCCAATCCAAGTAAAAATGTTTCTAATTATCGTAGATGCATTTACTTAATGGCGTGAAGTATATACCATGCGAAATTGTACAACATCAGAAACAGTCCACAAGTTGTCTACCCTGTTTAGCTGTTTCGGAGTACCAGAGACCCTAGTAACGGATAACAGCTCGCAATTCACCGCGGAATCGTTTAAGCATTTCTGTAGAGCACACGGAATAACTCATCTTTGTTCTCCACCCTATCATCCACAATCAGACGGACGAGTAGGACGCTTTGTGGACACCTTTAAACGAGCATTACTGATAGGGACGACTGAGCAGGTAATCACAAAAATTTTAACATCCTACAGATCCACCCCGAACCCGAATGTTCCAGACGGCAAGACTCATGCAGAAGCCATGTTCGGAATGCGTATTCGAACAGCCTTCAATGTAATGTTGCCATCCAAATTAGTGGATGAGCGCAGTCACAATTCATGTATCCGGAACTTTAATGTTGACAACGAAGTTTACATTAAATTCTACGTCGGGAAGAACCGATGGGAGCCGGAAGAAGTTGTACAAAAACTAGGGAGACTTCTGTACAGAGTTGGAAGAACTTTCGGGACATGTATACGACACGCAAGTCAAATCCATAAGGACGAAAGAACGATGCAGACTCGAAATAACCGGCCGAATTTTCCGTCAGATTTAATCTTAGATACACCAATCCCACACATGCCCAAGAACACTGAAAAGAAGCCTCGGGCATGGAAGACTACAAGAATAATGGGACGCCGTTGCAACCCCGTTGTCAAACTACAAGTAGATCCTAGAAAGAAATCTTATCAGGGGGAGGTATTGAGTCGGCTTTCGGAGAACGTCAACGAAGCCTCCAGAGTCCCAAAAGGAGCCGAAGAGTCCTAGCCAATCAGAGCATGATGGAGCATTCTAGAATTCTAACGTGGCGAGCTTCTATTGGTCAGTAGCATAATATGTCGCTAACGGATTGGCCGAAATATGATGTTGATCTAACAAACGTTAACATCTATAAATACCCATGTTTTCTGTACAAAAACGAACCTTGGGGTAAAGTGTCTCTCTCATACTTTGCATCTTCTTTCTAGTGTTCAGGTCGCCGTATAGTTCTAGCGTGCGGATTATCAGAATAGCTTAGGAACGATTATGGCGTCCAATCGACAAAACAATCGGATGATGTGGATTTTCACAAGTACACCATAGTGTCGAAGAAGCTTCCAAAATTTACTCCTATCCACACTGTTGATCGCTTCCGCATAGTCAAGGAAGTTTCAGAATAGTGATGTGTTCCACTCCATTGAGTATCCAACGATTGTTCCTAGTCTGTGCATGACCGACTCTTACGAAATCCAGCCTGTTGATCTCGAAGTTGGGCGCCTGGTGAGTCTTTCATCCAGTTCAGCAACACTCTGTTGAAAACCTTTACTGATGCTAATATTAATGTGGTTATTCCTTAGTTCTCGCGTTTACCAGATCTTCTTTCTTCGGTATTTTGATGAGGTTTCTTTCTTTCCAATCTGTCGACACTTATTGTTTTCTCGATATCTTCCTAAATGGGAAGTGAAGAATGCTTCCATTTACTTTTATGTCTGATTTAAGAGTTTCAGCTCGTATATTGTCAGGTTCCGCTGCTTTCCCAATCTTGACTTATTTGATGGCGATTCATATTTCTTCACTGGCTCTTATCAAAATAAACTGACGAATGGTGTATTATATTTTACGGAACATATTTGAACCTTTGATCATCTTCTATAATTCTATTTTTCGGTCTTTTATGCTAGAGATAGATAAATGTCATATGAAACAGAATTCAAATAATCACACACTATTGGCCTCAACACTCAGTGATATTAATAATATTATTACTACTCTTTAGTTGTACACAAGTTTCAATAATTGTTGTGTAATATTCACCACACTTAAACAGGCTCAGTAGAATTCGATAGGATACTGAGTTGAGTTAAAATAAAAAAGGGAAGAAAGAAGGAAAGAAAGAAATCTGAAATATGTAAATAATTTAATAAGTGCTTAAAAACAGAATAAGTATAAACGGTACTATAGTTTAGAATGATGTCATAAAAGTCTTAGTCTGATAGAATAATCATCATATGTCAGTTTGCATGGGTCATATATATGTGGTGACGATAAAAGGAATCTCAAAAAATAATTTATCTAAGTGTGTCCTAATATATCATGCCTTTATTACAACCTTTGAATGCTTAAGAATAAAATCCATGTAGAAGAAAAAGGGAGAAGGTAAAGAAAGGGACAAATGGATTTGTAGAATTATGGTCTACTATGATATTAGTACTGCTCTAATAATAAACCTAATCCTATAATTGTAGATTTGTCATGATATAACTGCCTATAAGATCTTACATGGAAGTCGCATCATCGGCTACACCAACTCACCACATTGTAACAATGATAGAAAACAAACTTAGGCTAGAGACAGAACAATATAATTAATATGAATAAAAGATATAGGGTAACATTCAGCAGGGACCACGCTTGCATGGCCGAGCCGTGCCATTCGATCAACCCCAACTCATTCAATTCATTCTTCCCGCCCTCTTCATCGTTGGATTTTTCTCCGTGTTCGATGATGAGTGTCCATTTCGCACATTGTCTCGTATTAGGGCCCAATGCCACTACAGAGTGACAGGAGATCAGTTGTGATAACGGAAGTACATTGAATATCGACCTATTATGTGAAACTATAATTGTCAGACATTAATGTTCCTACTCCAGTACACCACAATTTTGAATGTTTGAGCGATTGAAGCTATATCCTAACCTTAATGATCCTAGCTACTTAATTCTAACCGAAGTCAAAGAAGCTAATATACATGGGACATTGTTTTGTTTCCATGTCGTAGAAAATCTTACATTTGAGCTGTTATTTTTGATTTTCTTCTGAAATCGTAGATATTAGTATCAGCTTTGGTCAACACAACTTCATAATACTTGGTAGTAATCGATCTATCAATTTTGATACGAATAGTTGAGATGAAGGAAATAATGATCCGAGTGTCACTTCTAGAACGTTGAATACACTGTCGTAAAATAACACCTATAATACGGATCCAGGACAAGACTCCAAATTACTCAATACTTCGTATTTCCGATTCATGCTCTTCTTACAATAAATCACATTATAGCGGCTACTTGGAGATCAGTAACAAGTGGGTACCAAAATATATGCAAAATGTCGTCTAGTTGATTACCACTTATACATTTAGATATCATTGCTGAAATTCGACGCGGCGTTCGTCGCGTTTGCAACTACGAAATTCAGTCGACCAATGGTTAAGCCGTTTGTTTCAGGTTCACAAAAGTTTTAAGTGATATGTGCAACTGTAATGCGATCTGTTCACTGTAAAGTTCATAATTCGATCGGCTATCTTCGTGTGTTTCTCAATATCAGTTTCCTCATCTCAGATAGTCAATATATGCTGTTAATTCTGCGGTACCTTATGTGATCGTTATGTGCCTCCAGTCATGACGAAGCGCTATAACGTAGGTGCACACCGGCTAGAGGTCTTTGATTATTTATCACTCGAACAAAAAAGATATTGGCGACTGCACTTTCATTGAGTGATTCGAGACATCTCGATCGTAATTCAGTATCACACCGCCGACTTGAACTTCCATGTACTGTCGAACTGCAAGCTAAGTTTAACTATTCCTATAGAATCATGAAAACGTCAGAGCCCATAAACAAAGGTATTTGCACTATTGAGTAGTCAAATGCCGAAGACATCATTAACTTAGAAATGATAGAGATCTTCGCTGCTAACGTCTTAGAAAAATTAAACTAAACATAGGACACCTCTTAACTGTAGTACTACTTGAGAGGCTGGTTTATACAAGCTCGTGACAGATATTGAATATTGGTTATATGACCTTAAATGAGTTTGGTCTATTTTTCAAAAAAGCATTAGCGGTTATTGTGCTTAAAAATCGAACATCAATCTCACAGAAAACAGAACGATGGATGGACTGTTTAGATAAACGGTCTGGAATATGGGATGTTCTCAATCCATCAGTGTTAGAGAAATAGTCGATTGTGGAGAAAAGCAAAGTTCAGGTAAATTTTATCGTCAAATATTTGACGATAAATAATATATTTGAACATGTGTTCTCACGTCTGAAACTTTGGAGGGTTCATGAAAATCACAATACAGTTTTTGGTGATCAATGAAGTGACAGCTGGAGGTTTTTTCGATTTTTAGAGGTTGGATAGCACAGAAAGTATCTGAAATATCTTATCACAATCTCCCAATTCCGGAAAAAATTGACACATTTTGGGGAAATTTTGGAGAATCTGCTATTGAAAAGTTTGAGGAAATTTGTGGGAAATAGCACTCAAACTTTGAAATTTCCTCAGATCCGGGGAATTCCCCAAAGTTCCCCAAAATCCCCTCAAACATTTGTGAGGGTCATTTGACTTCAAGAGTTTCTCCAAAATACTCCAATACTTCCCCAAAACCCTCCAAAGCTTTTTTAACTTGGGAGCTCGGGATATTTCTCGAAAATGTCCCTTAAACCTTAGGCGATTCCCCAATATTTTGGATTTTTTCCAAATTTTCGGGAAGGTCATTTGACCTCGGGGGGTTCTGCAAAATCATCAAAAATTTCCTCTTAGTTGGGAGATGAGGATACTATTGGAGCTCCAAAGTTCGGGGAACGTTTGGGGTATTTTGAGGAAACTCCCGAAGTCAAATGACCCTCATCAAGTTTAAAGGACTATGTTGGGGAAATTTTCGGGTTTTAGTGCCATTTCCCCAAGATTTCTTCAAAGTTTACGATAGCAGCTTCTCCGAAATCGGGAGCTCGAGTACATTTGATGATTTACCAACAAAATAATCTAGAACCAAATTATAAACTAAACACCTGCTAAGGGAAATCTTTTACAAATTTAACTAATGACATCCATTTCACTCAAAGCAGTATCGTAGTCCTCAGAAGCTGTTTAAGTTCACATTGATCACTGTTTATTTTTCAACGATGTGTTGCTAGACAGCGTTTTAAAAATAATAATATAAAGAGTTACAAAAATTGATCAAAGTAGACGAGTTTAAATGCAGCCTACAATGTTTTTCAGTCTTCAGTAATAAGGATAGCAGGTTGGTGAACCTGTGTTAATCATGACACATTGCCTTCCAGTGAAGGTCCAGTTTCTCCTTTAAAATATTCACTAATGGGGCTGATACCACTTGTTCGGGTAAGACGTTCCAATCATTGACTACTCGATGAGAAAAACGGGACCCCACTTTAAGTTGATTGGATCGCGGTTTATGAACCTTCTTGCTATGACCTCGTAGATTATTAGTGCTGGAGGGAGCGAAAAGATCACATATTAACATCCAAATCATAGTTAAAGGTACGAAATGCCAGTATAAGGTCACCTTGCGTCCTACAATACGACAAGGGGAAAAGGTTTAGACGTTTTAAACGCTCATCGTAAGGGAGTTTAGAAAGACCCTTCACTAACTTCGTTCCCACACGCTGGACACGCTCAAGTGAGTTAGTATCACTTACCAGACATGGGCTAGCTGCTTTTTTTATCATCGGTGAAGAGTAGAACGAACGACTCTGCTACAGTTTGTAATTCATTTACATAAAGTAAACAGAAAAGCGAACCAAGGGTTGTATATTCGACAACTCCACTTTTTATAGGTTTCAACGACGAGAGAGCTCTACTTATCCCTACCCGCTGTCTCCTATCATTGAAAAAGTTACTTGCCTGGTCTATCAGTTCATAACAGATTCCGAAACTTTCCAGTTTTAACTTAAGACCCAGATGAGAGACTTTATCAAAGACTTTACTTGGATCTATGAAAATAATATCTACAGAAATAGTTCGATTTTTTGCCGCAGCCAAATCTTTTTTGCAATGAACAGATTTGTCAAACATGATATGCCTTCCCGAAAACCATGTTGTTCCATGGATAAAAGATTATGTCCTTCTACATAGTTTGTAACAGCCATCCGAATAATCTTTTCCATTAGTTTGACGACTGCAATGGTTAGACCATCGGGTCGATGGTTACTAACTGAATTTCTACTCTCCGTCTTATACACCAGACTAATTATTGCGTCTTTCTAGTCTCTTGGCAGTCTGAACTGATGCAGAGACATATCAAACAGCATGGCTATAAGTTCAGCAATTACATCCGACAAGGGCTTTTTTAATTCTAGGATGAATATCCTCAGAACTACTGGACTTGTCAGTTTTGAGATATTGAAGTAGTTTTAAGACAGTACATTTCTCAATAACTACAGGATCCTTAGACGAGCCGCCCCATTGACAATTATTCATTGGTCGTTCTTCATTGCTGATAAAAAACACTTTACTAAAATATTCCGATAAAGCTTTAGGTTTTTCGAAATCATCTCTTGTCAATATTAACGGATTTGTTTGTACCAAAAGTGATGGGATTCCATCGCTTCTCTGAGTTCACCTCTTTAAATACGAGAATAACCGTTTCGGACTATTTTTACAATGCCTAATCAATTGTTTTTCATATGAATGTCTAGTCATAATAATCAACGCTTTATAAGCAATCCTTGTCCTACAATATGTCGATCTATACTGTTCTAAGCCAGTAGAGATGAATATATTCAAATGCTTTTTCCTACATCTAAGATGTTTCTTGACATTTTTAGTTATCCATGGTGAGAAGTTATTCGGTCTACGTAGTACCAGGTATGGTATAAACGAGGACGTAACTGAACTGAGCTCATCTTTAAGTATGAACTATGCTTCTTCAACTGACGAGTCGGTATCTTCTGACCAATCTATCTTTGCAGAGCACACCTGAATGGCCGATATGTTTGCTCTCCATACATTTGGACGAGGCTTAACCTAATCGTTTATCATGTCACAAGCTCTAAACATGAATGACAAAACGACATAGTTGCTGTTTGCTAATGGTGGAAGAATAGTTAGACCGGCATGAGTGATTACCAAGACTAACAAAGAAAAAACTTGGTTTTAACCAAAACGTGTGCATCTGGATGCATGCTGTAGTAAATTATGCTTCAATACCGTTATCAGAAACCTACTATCAAAGGAGTTTATGGATCCTACGGTGGCCATCGTACTTCAACTAATATCAGATGCATTAAAGCCTCCTAATATCAGGCATCTGTTATTTGTACACCATAGATGAATGTGTTCTAAAATAAAGTCATCAGCTAAGCAGATTAAGTTGCGATAGATGACATCGAGTATAAATGTACAACATCCGATAGTGAGTTCAGAGCTAATGACTTCATGACTTCCGCTATCATGGGATTCGCAAGCAAAAGAGCAGATATTTATATTATTAGCTATATATAAGAGATGCCATCCCCTTTCTTATATCTTTGCCTATCACTTCTTTGGTAGTGGTATCCAGATAATTCTGGAGTAGTTTCGAAGTCGTGAACTAACCAAGTTTCCATCACAGCTACAATGTGTGGCCTTGATTTGTTCACTAATGCTCGTATTTCACAGAATTTATTTCTTAGACTAGGAGCATTTGCATACAAAACTCATAGGAAGAACGACCTATCCACACAGGCCATGTCAGCATCCGCTCCTAAGACCTGACTGGTTGAAAAACCACAAAATATATGAAACGCTTCACGATTTTGCGTGTCATCCTTGCTTAGGAGTTATGCCAATCTTTGTATCGTTCCAATTTTAGTGTATGTACCGCCAAAGCGAGTGGACTTATGGATTTTACTATTCAGATACACCCTATGGTAGATTTTGATCCTTTGCCACCCTATTTCCCTGTTTTTATGACATTTAAATGTTATTTGAAAAGAACGCCAATCTGAAATCATGGAGTGTTTGCTCAATATAGCGATCCAATCTCTAGTTTATTGTCAGGTTACTCCTAATGACATAGAATCAAATTGTAATAAATAATAGATGATATAATAAAACTGGGAATTAAAGTAGGAAAAATCGTATGTTTAAAAATCCCCTTGTGATGCTAAAGACAAGGCAAGAGTATTTACAATAGGTCTGAAGTAATGAGGATACTTTTGAGTTCATTATTAGAAATTAATTTCGCCTGACAACAGATACATTTTGAAAAATTCTACATTTTGAGTCATGAGTTTTTATGACAGTTTTCACAAATTTCTAAGTCTTAGTAAGTGAAAATCTTTTTTTTCTTATGTATTTTGTAAAGGTGAGTTAAGCTCTTAAAAATCACTTCACTTTTGAATGATAAAATTAGCAAATGAATGCTGATACCCAGTTCATTTAGAGAAATCTTTAAAAGTTCTAACATCCGTAAACGAAATACTAATTTCAAGCTAGTCCTCTTTCAAGTTTTCAGCATAAATGAAATCTGCATTTATGGACTAAATAATCCACGAAAATCAGAGTTATTGTTGATTTTTCGTTAATTGAATACCGTATGCCATAAGCTACGTAACGTTTTATTAAAAAAAATTTCGGTTTATCAATATCCCCAGCGATAATGTGTCCCAGACAAAGGATATTCACCATGTCATGTGAAGTTTATTTAGTGATACAGAGTGCTGGTTATTATGGTTGTTAGCGGGACATAGATTGGATTGAAGCACACTCAATGCACGATTGCTTTGGCGCACGCTGATTGGCTAATTCTTACCTAATCAGCGCTAGTCGATACTTGAAGAACACTCTAGAAATCTTCTCATATAAAAACTATAAATATACTAACGTTTTTCCTATTGTGCTTCTTACTTCCATCTAACTTTTTTATTTGGAATACAATCTATTTCCTGTTCAACCGTGTTCTGATTTGGGGACTTGTCTGGTGAATCGGTGTCCGAGAATACTAAGCAATAGGAATAGCTGTGTTGTAATAAAAGAGATTTATAACAATGATAATAAAGCCTTCTTTAACCACTTTCTCCTTTGTACTGGTTTAATATATATTAGAAGCTATTGTGTTTTTATTAAGACTGACTTTTCAAATACAGACTGCAATTTTTAGAACGTTCATGTTGTTGTTACGGTTTGCACTTCAGAATTACAACCAGATTATGTTTTTATGTCAAGGACTAAAGATTTAACCCTATAAGCTTTAGATGTTTGAAAAATATCTTGATAATATTTTAGTACGCTAGTTAATACATTTTCTTCTTGGATAGGGGGAAGATAATGAAGCTTAACCAAGTAAATCAAAAGAAACAAAAGCAGTCGTGTTTTTAAGTAGTCAGAACGGATGAAGATGGAAATGAGTATTTTGGGTCTTAGTTTATAAGAGATGTACCTGTAGAAGACTGTAAATAAATGTCATCAATCAGGGTACATTTATTTTTCTTTCTAGGCAATACACTATGATACATTATTGATACAACTGCTTAGTTATCGACTTAGAATAACTTGTTGATAATGAATAAGTTCCCGTAATAACCTATTTTTAAACTTTATTGGAATCAGGGAGTTGAAATTTTAATTGTTTTATAAAGCCTCACTTATAAATAGATTGTCTGATGAATTAAAACAGGACGATGTAAGCAAGATTTCTAGATCCTATATACAAATACATATAAGTCGCTTTCGTGTTTTCATTTATGTAGATCATGTTGATCATGACCATTCATTAACTAAAGCAAATGGTGAGAAAAGAAGCTCTCAACTGTATAGTAAGTAGTAACTTGTCTTTCCTATTCTTTCTGTTTTCTATTTATAATTTTATAATTGGTTGGTAGAAGTTGTAACTGCTGCGGTGGAGTAATTATCCTTAGTTTTTTACTTTCGAAAATTATCTATTTTATCACTTAAAATATGTACCAGGTTGTTATCTGGTTGTCTGCAAAATTCTCCGAATGTATCGTTTCCGGGACATTTGGTCAATTTCCTGTTCGGTTAATGATTAATTGATATATACTAGGACGCGATTTTTATAAAAGATTACATTTTCATCCCTAAAGCCTACTACATTAACTCGGAATGTTGGGCTGGCCACAGTGGATATGTCCATTTTAGATATCTTTGGATACAACCAGCCGTTACCAAAAACCATCACATTTGTAATCCCTAGTATTATCCTTAAGACAATCATGTTGAATACTTCAAGAGTATTAGAAGATAAAGATGAGTCAAATAAATATGAAAGTGTCATAAAATTTGTTTCCCTTTAAAAATAATTTTGGTCAAATTTAGGTAATTTAAATAATATAACAATGCAGTATTATTTTTACGTCCTTATTCAATCACTGAAAATGTAATATGACAATAAATATTTGTATACTACTTACATTTAGCTTTTTATCATTCACAAGCCAAGTGGTCTATGCATCTGATAGGTCACTAAGATAAATATGCGAAAATTGACAAGAAGTAAATCATACTCAAAATGCCCATATTTTATGCAGAAATACAATTCAATGAAGACTCACTGGAAAACTCTATATTCGAGAATGCATAAGTCAAAAATATCAGATTTCGAGACAGTTTGGTCAGACTATAATTTATGGATGACGCTGAAATAACCTTGAGAGTGTTCACCTAATAACTAGAACCAAATGAGGGTTATAAATCAGTGCGAGGAATTCAAATTATGATTAACAGTTGATGGTTAGAGTTAGGAATTAGATTTAGGGTTTTCATCACGAACTGACATCAGCTATAATAACAAAGCTCTATTTAGCCAAATGGATGAGAGAATTTCACGTCAAAATCCAAGACCTGTTATTTAATACCTGATTGGTTCGTTCATAAATTATAGTCTCGTCCAAAATTCTAGATTATTTCATGTTACAACTAATGTTAAATTATCAAGTTGTTAGTAATAATAAAGTTCTATCAATCAAGTTGAAATGTGATCATTGAATTTAACTATTTGACACTTAAAAGTACACATCGTTCTATGTTTAATGATTGGAAACAATCTATTTGAGTCAATGAACTTAAGTTTACTGATAGTATAATACAAACAATTTGAAGAGAATCTATATTTTACACACTTCTAAAGTTGGAAAATTTCAAAATGAACTATTCAAATTGTAAGTGATCACATTCGTGACTGAGATCAATAACCGAAATTGTATAGTCTACACAAAGTTAATCCAATACGATAATGAATAAGAATGATAAATAAAATCCTATGGGGAGGGAAAACACTTGAATAATTAGGTTTTAGTGCTTGCCATAAGATTTAATGGTTCTGGTTTCGATTTTGCACAAGGTCGATGAGGTGACGGTTTATTTGATGAAATCGGTGGTTACTGTAATAATTTGGTCGAATTTCTGTAAGATGGTTTCATAAAACGAAATTACTGAACACCAGTACACGCATTTAATGCTAAATTTAAAATTATCATCTAGCAGTAACATTGAATGCTGAATTAAATATTCTATGAGGTGTACAACATGGGGATTCAACAAGTTCATATATAACAGAATTAAGCAATAAAACTGAAATGAACATTGATGATGGGTCAACACATAGTATCTAATCCAGATTGTCTTCACCAATAATAAGATAATCACAACAATTGTGTTGTAATTACAATTATCCTTGTACTTCTTCCGTGTCATCTTTTCAATTTCATTGCAACGTAATTTCTCTGTAACGAGATAATTTGTGGTAAGTTGGTTTCAAACGAGGTCTTTTGTTCTATATAACTGACTGATCAGTTTACTATTGCAGCTACTAAACTAAATAAATAAATAAATAAATACCACAGTCGGTCGTACTTAATCATTTTTAATGATATTGGCTGAACGACGTTTTTAACCTACAGTCTATGATTACTTTCTACTTAACTCAAATAAAGTATTTGTTTCGTCCCTGAATAAATTTAAACAGATCAAGAACAACATGATTTGTAGAATAAAATAGATTTATGCCATTTCACGGTTTCTCATCAGCTTCATCCAACCCAAAATTACAATTAATGACATAATTATTAACAAATCTTTATCATACTTCAGTTTGTGTTCGAAACGTTACCAAAATCATAATAATAGAAAGGATAGGGAGAAGGTGTATAAATAAATATAATTAAGATCGATGTGTACTTACGTGCTGGAAAGTAGGGATTCTGAGGTTATGTACAGGTAATGAAATGAATAAGTGTTTGAGTAGACGATCAACATGATTAAATAAACAAATATGTAAACATCAATAAGATTATGTAGAAGATGAATATCAGAAAACGAAATTTAAAAAAAGCGATAAAGGATCAGGAACAGGGTTGAAATAAAAAGATTAGAAGTTAAAATCGTTGCAGCCACGATCACCGTGGAAAGGAAAGGCTAATCCATCTTTGTTCTGTAACCATAGATCAGGTCGGAAACTTTTGATAGCGATTACATTTGCTAAACGAAGTAAGACTGATGTTTTTTATCGGCTAATTGTTATAAATGCATTACTTAAATCTACTTCATTCACGCCTCCCAGTAGGTATCTGGGAATTACATTTGTAAAGATTTTATTTCATTTCAGCCGTAGCTTCCAAGGAATGTGTTTAGAAAGCCTCAAGGAGGCCCTTCTCTCTATCGTCTCTATGCATTTGCTACTGAAGGCATACGCAAATTTATATAAGCAGTTAAAAGTGAGATCGGAAGGGTATTGATTTAACTTTGAATGGCATAATGAAGTCTTGATATTATATAGTGAAACCAGTTGAGCAGCAGGGAAGCTTATTTTCTGTTCTACGTTGACTGTGTTATTGATTGCTCTTGAAATCTCATCCGCTTGAACGGAAGGCTGATGAAGGCAGATTCCTTTCCAACAGTCGATTGTTTATCATCTTTGGGTTGTTATTTTCCGTACTTCGTAATAAGTTTCTTTGAATATCTATTTCTTATGAGATGCTTTACCGAAATAGCCAACTCTTCATTTGCTTTGTCGTTTGAACATAACATCCTAGACATACTGAAGAGCGTTTGACCACACATCTTTTTATAATTGATACGATAAAAGCTGTTAGTTCAAATACTGTCTTGTCTATGTCTCTTTCCTACACTCTATAGCTACATTGTTTTGATTGTAGTAGCTTTGTCTGTTCACTGTAAGAGAATACAAGCCTACAATGATAGACTTTTCAGTATCTTGTAAATTGCTAAACGAAATATGTCAACATTTCTCACTTTCCCAGTACTATGATGATGGGACAAAACGGAATTTTCTTTTTGTAACTCAGATTGCAGAATGTTTTGGTACATTTTAAAACAGCTTTACATTGTGAGTTCAGGAAAATTTACTGTGCAAGAATAGTTGCATTTATAAATAGACGGTGATATCAAACCGTATCCATTTTACGCCAAGTAAAAATATAACCATAGAAGTAAGCGGACAACAGGGTCCAAAATAATTTATCTTTATACTTATAATAATACTTTCTTCATCTAATGCGGTCTGCCGGGTTTCAAAATATCATACCTTGTGGAGTGTTTCAAGCTAAATTCTAAAAATAACCACTATATGTGTTATATTAAAATCCGTCATTTGATAACTCTATGTATGGTGGTAGTTTTTCACATTTATTGTTCCTATATGTTTTCTTATTAATTCAATACATTACATACAACGATTGGACTTGAATAGACTTTAACGAATATAAACGCTTACTTTAGCTATGCTCAAACGATAACGTGCATAATTTTCAACAAGTCAAGAAAAAGTTCGATAGAACTCAATAAGTTTGCATGTATTTGCTTTCAATCATTTATTTAAATGACAGCTTAAAAATCTAATATATATATACAGTTTGTTTGAAAAAAATCAACACCCCTTAATGCTTGTAAAAAACAATCAGCTGGTGAGCTATAAGCAACAGAACTGATTTGGTACAAAGTTATACATTTTGATTAAAAACATCAGATTAAATATCTTCATTATTTATACATACCTATACAGTGATAAAGCTGTTAAAATGTCAAAATATCAAATAGAAAAATAGTCAATAAAACTGTTGGAACTAGTTTATTTTTATTTCCAGAACTAATCATCAACGTCATCAGTGTACTCAGCATATTTCAAAATGATTAGTTATAATATCAGAAATTCGGATAAGTGATCACATGTAGATTTACTTACTTACGCCTGTTACTCCTCGTGGAGGAGCATAGACCGCCCACCAGCACTCTCCATTCAATCATTTCCTGAGTAATCCTTTCCAGCTCTTTCCAGTTGTTATTCTTCCTTTTCATATCTAATTCTATTTCTCAATGTAATGTGTTCTTTGGCCTTCCTATTTTCCACTTCCCTTCAGGATTCCAAGTTAATACAGGCCTTGTAATGCATTTTGATGATTTGCGTGATGTATGTCCTATCCAACTCTAGCGTCTTTCCCTAATTTCCTTTTCAGCTGAAAGCTGGTTTGTTCTCTCCCACAGTAGGTTGTTTTTGATTTTTTCCGGCCGATGAATGCTTAGTATCTTGCATAGACAACTATTTATAAATACTTGTACGGTTTTGATGTTGGTCGTAGTAGTTATCGAAGTCTCAGCTCCGTACACTAGAACTGTCTTGACGTGAATATCGAAGATTGTGACATTGATATTGGTTGATAGTTGTTTTGAGTTCCACATTTAAATTGGATTATCAAAAATCATAATTCCCAATGATTATATATATAAGTATCCAAGATTACAAGCTATCACAGTTAATAAATTTTATTATTGTATATAAATGGATAGAGAAAAAAATTATGTAGTTAATCGACCATAAATTAGACAGTCAAAGGATAGTAATTAATTAGTCAAAATGGAGCTTATAATTTGAATTCGGTCGAGGTTAGACATTAACGCCGTTGAATGCGAGCTCAAGGGTCTAGAGGTTAAGAGTTCGCGAGCGAGACTACAGGCCTTGGAGTCAGATCCCGTGAGCGTTATCGTGGATGCGCACTGCTGAGGAGTCACACAGTAGACCAAAACGGCCGTCCAGTGCTTCCAGGCTTTCAATGGTGGTCTGACACCAATCGGTTCATGATCTCAATCAAAATACTGATGTCCCGTATATTTTAATCAATTTGAAACATGTACAACCTAATCAACTCTTGATCAATGATATTTATAAACCTTGGATGAAACGTTAGACCACCAATAGAGGCAGTGGTCGGCTGTTTCGTCCTGGCTTGAGACTCCTCTCAATCTTGCTTGCGGATCGTCACATGCTAGGACGAAACGGCAGCCTAGTGCTTCCAGGTTTTCAATGGTGGTCCAACACCAATCGGTTCATGATCTCAATCAAAAACATTGAACTAGATTTTAAAAAATATTCAGAAACAAGTGCTAGATGAATATTCACTAAAAATGTACAAACAAGTTTAGCAATTGATGTTTGGTAATTGTTCGTTTTGCACCTCTTCCTAACAATAATTAAATTTAGTAAATGTTAGAAAACTTCAAATTATTTACGTTCAAACTGTTTTAAACTAACTCTAAAGTGAATGAAATAAAATGCGATATAAGACAATACAGGAGACTGCACAATTTATCAATGATTCTAGGTTTCAGCTTGCATTTTTAGTAAATAAGAACGAAGTTCTAAGCTTTTAGTTACTGGTATCCCTGGAAACTTTGATTTGATTTATTAATCTTAGTAAGCTTAACGAAGAGCTTTGCTTTTTTAGACATTTCTTGTCATTCAAATACCGTGCAATTAGAAATCGAGCTAGAATAAGTTAGACTGTCATTATAATGTGCGGTGATTGATAGACGAAAGGTAGGGTAAAACGAATGGGGAAATATATCAACATTTGATTGTTTATATAGGCATTATGTCCTTGATGGAATTAGTTTGTCTTTTGGAAATTTAGCTTTATTCACTTAAACATCATTATTTTGGTTTAATGATTACCTTGAGCTTTCTGATCACTGTGCTGTACCAGTTATTTCCTAATTAAATTAAACGATACCGCTGTATTCAAAGAGTAAATTATTCTAACCTTATGGAACAGAATTCTGAATATGTCTTAGACGTAACCAATAAAATGACACAAAGGGAGTTATGATGGATTTTATTTAAAGTGTTTCTCGTAGATATAAGTTCAAATTGTTGTTTCCTTTCTGTGAAATTTATTTAAGGAAGTGAAATCTATAGATGACTTAGTAGTCTATGATAAACTTAGCATTCATACAGGTTTTGCTGGATATTAAATGTTAAGTTGGTGTATGATTTCGGTTGATTCACATCAAAAACATCTCACTGACCAACCTGACTTTGAGACAAGTTCTTAGAGTTCTGGTAACAAACTACAAACGGTGAAGTTCACCCACACACAGTACGTCTCTCTCATTGAAACACTTACAAACAATAAGTAGTTAATTCTGACCAAATATTTATTTACATATCTTATATGACGCAGTACATCGTTTAATCTGTAGGCAAATATGAATTATTCCTTACGATCACATACTAATACCGTCGTTTGAATCAGTGACTTAGCTGACTACCTGATAAATTTGTGACGAGTAAACTAGATCCTGAACGATGGATACAATGACTTTATCGACTTCTTTTTCCCAACATATGATTTAATCCATACGGTTGCCTGAGATTATATTTTTGTATGATTTTTATCTGTGCAAGCATACACGTTTTAGTGTTCTGAAATTGCTTTCCTTGTTACCAGTTTAATTTTTCATACTCCACTAAATTACTAAATATATGGAGTATGGTATGATTCAAGTTATTTGTAGACAGTAATGGAAAGTATTCAGTTAATTAAAAAAATTAATTATTCATTATTTTAGGTTTAGGAGCTGCTCTTCTTATACAAAAATGGTACCGGCGTTATCAAGCACGTCTGGAAGTCAAACGAAGATGCGCTTGGATGATTTATCAGACATTAGAGTATGCAGGCGAACAAAATCATGCAAAGGTAAACCGTGTTATTATAGTTAATATGAATTTACCAAATTGAAAGTAATGATGAACGAAACTCTTCACTCTAAGGTCTGTTTCTTTAAAGGTTACTTCTCTTCAATTAAGTTTTGTAAAGACATATGATAATAAATTTCGTAAGTTATTTCTGAACAATGTTCTGTGTTTGCAGTTGAATCCCACAGTATATATGTTTGACATATTACAATCATTGTAAGTTCACTTTTCCGCTTTCGATACATAAATAAGTGAGAAAAGCCGACAAAAATTGGCTGCAATATATATATATATATTTCGTTAGATGATCTCAAACAAATGAAACTGATATGCGATTTCATGCATAATTATTACTCATTGTCGCTGTTGTTCGTAGTAGACTATTTTAATGAATTTTAAATTTGTGCTCTCAAGTGAATTGTGATGGACTTAATTATATCTAAATTGCATTGTATTGGCATAGGGAGAGAATTATGTCTTGTTTCCTAAATTATAAATAATGTACTCAACGAGTAAATATTCAGTGATTGAAGACATAGGGTGATGTGGCTCAGAATTGTTAACCATTGAATAAGTGCATTTACTCCTTATCTTAAGTTCGATCCTGAGTTTCAAAATCATATCATAATATATTTTTCGTTTGCCAATTCACTCTTTTTTTCGCAAATCATACTGTTTATATCTGGTCTTTTTTACTACTTCTAAAACCATCATTAATTCTACTACTATGGAATTTACCTTGTTCATCTTATCTCGCTATACTGATACATTTTGGTAGCTTGAATCGATGCACTTGGATGTTAGATTATATATTGCACATGACTGATTGATTGAAACTCAAATATCTCACTTATAACCCATTTATTAATCCCATGTAACGTATCTGCAACAAAATTAATCTTTGTTTAGAATGTATAGTCTTAGTAAGCTGCTTATGAAACTCAAATCCCCTGTCTTTTACGCTCGATATTCTTTTATACAATGGGAAATAAATCCATCTTTCATGTATATCACTAAATGAAATAAACTACTCTTGGTATTTTATAGTTTAGGGTTAAGGACTTGCTGCTAGATAAAAAGAAATACCTTGGATTCAATACTCTGTGTGGTCGTGGATCCGCACAGCTGACAAATGTCATACTAAGAAGAAACAGTTGTTCATTGTTTTCAACGGTTGTCTAAATATGATCAGTTCCCCATGTAAACCATAACATTTGATCAATTTGTAATGAAGTACGATCATCATCATTTATTTATGTATTACATTAATTTGTTAATTTTAATTAGTTTTGCTAATAAACTCTCAATTTGTAAAATTTATTTTTTATTAAATTTTTCCCACATTTCATGATTACAATGAATCATAAAAACAAAATGTAAAGCTATACGATCTATTTCATGATCTTATATCACACGCATCCAGTGGAGAAACAGCAAACACCGATGTTAATTCTGACTGTCCACATAGTCCAGGTAAGATAAAATTCCTTTGATAGTTCGAAAGGATCCTACTAAAAAAATAACTGAAATATAATTTCTTCTTTCTAATTTACTCATTATTTAAATTATTTGTTATGAAACCAATGACTAAGAAATATTGAAGAAAATCTACGACACTAATTCAAACTTCCAAAATTATTTACTTTATCTACATAAACTCATTGAAACCGAGTTGATTTATGTGGACAAATCACTGATGATCATTATTTATCTACTGATTTTGTAGTATTATAAAGAATATATATATTTCAGTAATTGAGATCATGCGTCAATCGAAGCTGGACCACTATAGAAAACCTGGGTTCGAATCCTGCGAGACGGGGTTGTGGGTGTGCATTGCTGTAGAGGCCACAATCAGACGAAACGGCCGTTCAGTGCTTCCAAATTTTCCATGATGGTCTAGCTTCAGTTTACTCATGATCTCAACTACTGAAATTACTACAATCTCAACAAAACCCCTTCATATATATATATATATATATATATATATATATATATATATATATATATATATATATATATATATATATATGTTTCCAGTTATTGGTCTACACTTATACACAAGGTTTATAAGAAACCTTGCCAATTAATTGTGGTAATTTTACTAAACGGGGTTGGAAAATCAGAAATATTCCTTGCTTATCACTTATGGCTATATCGAGGCTATCCACACAGGATGTACATATGTCAATAAGAAACTGATCAATTGCAATTCTAAATAAGAATGGGCAGATACAAGTAAAACAATACCAAGTGAATTTATATTTCACCCCATTGCACAAGCTAATGGCTATCAGGACTTAGTAGCTATATGCATAACGCGATGGCGTTTGAAGTAAACGGTACTGGATTCCAGTCCCGGAGTGAACATCAATTCTCGAATGTAGGTACATCCGGCTGACGTGTCCCAAATAGGACAAAACACGCATTCTTTATTCCACAACTAGCCACTATTCATCTTTCGTAAAAAAATAATCCTAAAAAGCTATCTCGAAATTAACTTGAAGGTGATTACAAACAGAGTGACGATTATGTGCATTCATATTAATTAGTAAATAAATCATTGTGTACTGTTAAATTATATACAGATCACATTATAGAATTACATTGTAAAAATCTTATTCACAGATGAAGCATTAGCAATAATTATGTTAGAATCTATAAATAGAAAGTATGTTCCAAATAAATAAACCACAGATTGCATGTTTATCTTATAGGTTAGATTAGTATGATCTTTATTGATAATTAACTTAATAATAAGATTGTACAAACTTTTGAAAATAAACATAGTACTAGGATTATCCTTTGTTACAAAATGTGATACTTATAGGCTTGATAATAAATGTATCTAATTATACACCAAATACATCTACATATACAGAAGCACTTAGATTGGTCATAGGATATCATGGTAGGGAAATGAATAACTCACTACGCTTAACAATATCTGAATAGAATTCAAAATTGATAATCTACACCCCCAAATAGCCATGGTCCGATCGACAGAGGCGAGTTTGTTCTACCGCTTGAAATGCTCTCATACGGCCACGAGTATATATATATATATATATATATATATATATATATATATATATATATATATATATATATATATATATATATATATAATGATCTTAACCATTGAAATTACTATAATATCCACAAAACCCATCTGATATTAATCAACAAATACTCACTAGTGACTGGCTTCAAGAGGTATATCCTGGAGTTCTAGTGAGATGTAGTGACCAGTGGAGTTGAACCAGGTCTGTTGTGAGATAGTAACTCATTGAAGACAATGGTGGATGTGTCATTCAATTTCGTGGATTAGTTGAAGCTAGACATTAACACCGTTGGATGCCGGGTCAGTGGTCTAGTGGTTAAGTGCTCGCGCGCGAAACCAGCAGGTCCTGGGTTGGAATCTCGCAGAGGGCGAGGTCGTGGATGGGCACTGCTGAGGAGTTCCACAAAGGGCGAACCGGCCGTCCAATGCTCCCAGGTTTTCCATGGTATATATATATAGACAAAATCAAGGCTTTTTTTCGATTTAAATACTAGATACACTTAATGTTAACCGTAAATCTTTTAAAACATTATATGAACTCATCAACAACAACAATAACAATACAAAACTGATTGTGAAAAAAAATTTCCTTTTATTATCTTAGATGTAAGATTTTTAACGATTCCAGAAACTGGTAAGCATTGCTTATGTAACCCACCTGTTGTCAAACCATTTCAGTCATGCATGTGGCTTATTTAATTCATCCGACTTTCCATTCTTATTCTTTATTAACTAACTATTATTGCTTTGTATCATTTATTAGCTTTCTTTATATATAAACAGTAAATCTATTGGGTGCTTTTATTCTAACGATTATGAGTGTGACAGCATTTGATCTTTATTGTATGAATGTAATTGTGTCATTAATATTATTACTATTGTTATTTGAAAATCTTATTTTTATAATACTGTTTGTCGATTATCAGTAAAAACAATCATACCATACAAGGTTAATCTGAGTATGTCTTTGAAACTAGGCATATACTGAAAATTTCTGGGTGTAATTGGAATACGTATACTTGTCACATTTTTCTTGACAAAATAACAACCACGAACAATAATGACAACAGTGAAATATATATATACTAAAGTAGTCATGTTCCATTGCCTGTTTAACAATTTTAATGGAGTTGAGTTTTATGAGTCGAGTGATGTTATCATGTAGTTGTCATTGTCTTTCTGATCAACCGCTTCATCATAAACTTCAGGTAGATATAAGCTTATTCTGTCAATCTTGAATTCAATCGGCTGTTGAAATGAAAACTTACCTTCAAAATAAGTTTGTTAATTTTCTTCCGAAGGGTAAAAAAATCCTAAAATAAATTTGTAATGATGTATTCTAATGGGAATTCTATGTTATACTAAATATATAATACTAAATAAAGTGATTAATAATAACAATAGATGATAATTGCCATCATCCAATTCGATGCATAAATCTTCAGATTTAAAGAATGCATTTTATCAACATACAGAGATATCAGGTAAAAAAAACCCTCAAAAACCATAGACTACTGGAGAGTGGCTACGTTATGATGTGGATCGGATTTTATTAATAATTTATATTCTGAAAATAATAATTACAGAATTCACGCCAGTTTACAGGTATGATCAATTTGATAGAAATAGTAACATTAGATGTACAGAACAAACATCTGATAGAAGAAAGTTTTAAGTATACTAGTTCAGTAATTGTTTAGGTAGTACATGTATTACAGCGATCCAATGCATCAGCCAGGAATTTTTAATATTTCTTAAATGGATAGCCTGTTGATTTATGAACGGAGTAATTAAGGTCAATTCGTGTGCCAGATCGAATTAATGATAATTATCTATAACTGGAGAAATTAAAACGAAAACAGAGAGCACGGCACAACAAAGCAGTAATTACCAAAATATATCAATCAGGTCTACCAAAATGCGTGTGTCATGTGACACAATGATATACTGTTGATGTTATTTAAATTAGTTAAACTTTCTGGGGATGGTGTTAACATAAAGTGACAGCAAGTAAGTAGTTTTACTTAGGGAATTCACTAATAAAGATGGCTAAACATTTAAAGTTCCTATAATATCACTTGTGGAATGAGATATACTTACAGGTGCTAGAACATTCAATGCATTTTCAGAGGAGCAGTATATTTCGATACAGCGAACAAATAATGGGATTGATTTTATCGTACGGATAGATTGTGGTAGGCTATTCCAGAGTCTAGAAAATTTACAGGTGAAGTAATTCATATAAAGAGATGATTTAGAGTAAGTTTGTTTCACTAGTGAGAAGGAATTACGGATGTCATAATGAGAAGTTTCTGCATATTGAATCACGTGATTGGACGTAAACGTTGGTTTATGAAGTAGTTTGAAGAAAAATATAAGATTTAGTTTGAGTCTCCTCTTCCATAAATGGTCTAGCTCAAGTTTATTACATCTAGAATTATAAGTTAAGGTACAATCAGCTCCAAGAATACGAAGTGTAAATCGTCTCTGTACTGATTCCGGCCTTAATTTATCCTTTATGTGCTCACTGCTAAGAATAAACGTGCAATATTCTAGAAGAGGTTGAGCACAAACTTTGTACATTATATAACAGTTTTTTGTGTCATTTCCTCAACTACAATCACTTGAATCCATTTCAACTAATTAACAAACTTCGCTAAAAATTTCCTTACTCTACGTATCCAGCTTACCACTTAAAATAACTTTAGAGAACAGCTATTTAAATTCAGAATAATTAGATAAATTTTATAAAAAAAATATTACCTAAGCTAGATCTATGTACACGAGGTCGGATAACCGATTTTACAACGCAGTTGTTATTACAAAGGAATTACAATCAAATCATTATTGATAATTCAATGTTATCATGGTAAAGATTTACAGCTGAAGTAGTGGAGTTGTTTGTATTGAACTTGATGGTTTAAAGCTCCTCGAAAACTTTATATACCCCAGAGAACATATCATCATCATAATTCAGCTTCGTATGGGAATATATTTTGATATATTTCTCAATTGATAAATTATACTTTATTTATAATTTTTATTGATATTAGACATTGATGAACCGTTAGATTTAAACATTTGGAATGGTGATTGGTTACCATCAATACCGTCAAATTATCAAGGAATAAAATTGTACTTTCCCATAGATATGAATCAAGTTGCCATGATGATGGAATCATTTGTTAATGGATATGTAAGTATTGTATATTTAATATCAAATATGAAACTGATAATTATTTATAATACATAATCAACTATGATAATTATCAATGCCAAGGTGGGACTTCATAGTTTCAGATAACTTGAGCATTGTGTAGAAATGTAGTAATAAATATATTTTTGTTATATTCAAATAAGTAGAAAAATTGTATTTCAGATGTTTTGTGACTTTATATAGGCTACTTTTTTCAAAGTGAATGAATAACCGAAATAAATTAGCACAAGTTTCAATAGTATAAACTTACGTTAAGTTATTTCGGTTATATACTTACTCTGAGGAAGTGGTTTACATTAAGTCACAAAACACCAAAAATTCAATTTTTCTACTCATTGGGATTAACAAAATTATATTTATTATTAATCAGCTCTGAGTAAAAGTACGCTATTCTTGTCATATATATCTACCGTGAAATTCATTGAGCCATTAAGCCAGCTATTTGAAGACAGTTCAAATCTTTATTTTTCTGTACAAAGGGCCGATTCAAACGGTATTTTCTATTTCTGTAAGTTGTTTAATGTGTAACATGAGATTTTGTAGAGTTACCAGTTACATAATTAGGGTTCATTTTTCATTGCCTTTATATCAGACTGATCACAGTCATGATATTTCTTTAATTTTCTTCAATTTTCTGTTCATGTTTAATAATAAGATTTGGTGATGAATTTCAAATGTTGTTTAATTGTTGTAAGTGATGGACAAAAGCTATTATGTTGATAAAATCATTAAGTTTCCTATTCATCACATAACTAATATTTCAAGCCTTAAACAAAAAGTGACTGAAAGTAGGTAGGTCGGTCATGCATATTTTTAAAATGGTTCAACATTTTTTATAAAAACTCACACTCATGTTTATTATGAACTTTCAGAAAATAACCAATTTAACACCTAAAGCATGAACAATAAATCTCAAGGGAATTGAATTATGAATTATGCACTTCGAATGTAATTCTTGCATCATACAGAATCAAGTCAGTAAATCTTAGAGCAAGTATTTTAAATATTTCTACCACAGAAGATTATTCACAACTCTTTAATAATATCTCAGACTGTGTAGCTAAGAAAACTGTTTTTCGAATCAACCAGGGAGGGGGGCGGGTAACATTTCTCTCAATGTTTCAAATACACTTAATTGATAAATACCAACTAACATGAAGTAAAAGTCAAAAGTTTCTCATCGACTACTTTCAACTACCTAACATAATTACAATATCTTGAAACTATCCACTAATGATCACATAACTATTATTAAAAAGAGATATTTATAAAGATTAGTTCAACTGGAACTGACAAAAATGAATGTAATAATTAATCTTTATAGGCATTTCAAAATTAATTCTTAGTTTTCATAGAATTTATTCACTAAAAACAAAAAGATTAACCATATTGAATACTGAGAATAAAAAAGACAACCTTCTCATTCATAATTTCACTACTACATTTCTACAATCTAAACCTATTTTCTAATATAATCTCTATTTATTCACATAATAGATAAAAGACATTCTTTATAAATTTAACTATTCAGTCATTGAATGTAAATAAAAATAATAAAACGTTAACTATTTAACTTATTAGGCGTGATCCTAATTAAGATACCATCTGAACTATTACTGTCCTTTCTTTTTCGAAATTTTTCTCTTTTCTCTATTTTGAATTCATAATTATTATAAATATAAATTATAAGGGGGAAAATAAAAAGTAGTTTGCGTGATAATTGAATCCAGGGAAAATTGTTCCACTTTATTATAAGTAAATATATAACCCATAGGGAAAAACATTAAATCAATTAATTAGCTGAAATTTTGTGTTTGAATCTCTTTTTTGAAAAAAATGTTTATTTTGCATGGTTATATTAAAACAAATATGCCTTATTATAAGTGTTTTTATTAAAATCTATCTGTTTTCTTTTACATTAATTCTCCTGGCTATATGTTTGAATTAATGTAGTATACTTGTTAAGGGTTTTGTGGAGATTGTGGAAATTGATGGTTTACCTCATAAACTAACCTTTGTTTGAAATATATATCCTACAATAGGAAGAAACGGCCGTTCAGTGTTTTCAGGTTTTCCATGGTGGTCTAGCTTCAATTAACTCATGATCTTAACCATTGAAATTACTATAATATCCACAAAACCCATCTGATATTAATCAACAAATACTCACTAGTGACTGGCTTCACGAGGTATATCCTGGAATTCTAGTGAGAAGTAGTGACCAGTGGAGTTGAACCAGGTCTGTTGTGAGATAGTAACTCATTGAAGACAATGGTGGATGTGTCGTTCAATCTCGTGGATTAGTTGAAGTTAGACATTACCACCGTTGGATGCCGGGTCAGTGGTCTAGTGGTTAAGTGCTCGCGCGCGAAACCAGTAGGTCCTGGGTTGGAATCTCGCAGGGAGCGAGGTCATGGGTGGGCACTGCTGAGGAGTCCCACAATAGGACGAACCGGCCGTCCAATGCTTTCAGGTTTTCCATGTTGGTCTAGCTTCAACTGACTCATGATCTTAACCATTGAAATTACTATAATATCCACAAAACCCATCCGATATATCAATGAATGTTTACTCAATGATTCAAAACAAAGCAATCTCAGAGAAAATTAAATTTTTTGATTTTGATCCCCAGAAAATTAGGGGATACACAATGTTGAAGAGTCTTTCACTACGATAGTTATCTTCTACTTCCTGCCTTTCAATAAGTTTTATTAATTTCATTTCATATAACCATAAGGTTATATTATTGTCGATATTCAAATGATGTAAGAAACGTATTCATTTCTACATAATATAAAATGTAGAAACTTGCAAACTAAGCTGTTTTCTAGCTTATACGTTAATACACTCGATTATGAAGTACATAAATCTGCCTAGAGTGATGTAGACATTTTATTAAAAAATAATTTGAATGTCATCTCATGCTTTTAGTTCTATAGTTCCCGAATTCTATGGTATATTTTGAGAGATAGACCGGCAATCTATTGACACGAACATTCATTTTCATTTTAACTCTTGGACATAACTAAATGAAATAGGAAAATAGATCTGATCAATTTTATTTGGCTAGAATTTTGATAATCTTATGACTTAAACTAATTTCTTGTACCTAGAAATGAATATTTAAAAAATATGGAATTGTTGATATAGTTCATTTGAGTTATCAGACAGGAATACACTCAGTTCACAGTTATAAATGTTTATTTTATGTCGGTAGAAAATATAGTGATAACTGTTGCTAGAAAATATCAAATTGTGGGCCCGATTCAGTTGATTTTTAAGAGATTTATTCTGCATTTATTTTAGCACCACAATTATTTACATCAACATTTAGATTGTGAGTATAAGGGATGTGGAGATTGCTAAGTTATTTTGATTGAGATCATGAACCGATTGATGTTAGACCACCATTGAAAACCCGGAAGCACTGGACGGCTATTTCGTCCTTTTGTGGGACTTCTCAGCAGTGCGCATCCACGATCCCGCTCACGGGATTCTAACCCAAGGTCCCTAGTCTCGCGCGCGCGAACGCTTAACCAACTGGACCACTGAGCCGGCATCTAATGGTGTTAATGTCTAACATCAACCAATCCACGAAACTGCGCGACCGAAGGCCCTGGGTTCGAATCCCTCGAGCGGGATCGTAGATGCGCGCTGCTGAGGAGTCCTACAATAAGACGAAACGGCTGTCCAGGGCTTCCAGGTTTTCAAAGGTGGTCTAACATCAATCGGTTCATGATCTCAATCAAAAACCTAATAATCTCCACAACCCCTATACTAGCAAACAAATTGTATGATTGAAGTATTGATAACTACGAAAACTTTCCTCTCTTAGTAGGACATTCTTCAGAGTAATTCATTTTACTTGATGAATATATTTTGAAAAAAAGTTAATTTATCAGTTTATATTTTTAATTTGTGGTCAGTGTCATACTACTGAAATTAAAAACGAAGACTATGAAACTAAATGCAATTTAAGTAGATCGGTATAAAATATTTCAGTACATCTTATATCATATAGTCATAATATCGACTTGAGTTCTGGTACATAACTTTTTATAATGCTAACCTGTTGTATTAAAGTTTACTGACAATAACCTGGAAATAAATTTTAATGGTGATCTAACATCGATCGATTTATGATCTCAATTAAAACTTAACAATCTTTACAACCCTATACTGAGAAATATGGCTACTAGTTCAAGTGACTCAACATAGCGCGTACTATATTTTGACCTTCATTGATAAGTGACAAGAACTCCTGAAACTCGGTATTGTGTTATTTGACATTTATCATCAAGATTTACCTATGATCTTGATGAATCTGGTGGTACCAAATACGCGTCACCAATTTTCTCAGTCTCAGTTGTTACTACCTACCTATTCATATTGATTTGGATTTTACATACTAGTCGAATAAACAAATTGTTAACCAGGTTTTCTAACATGTGGAAAAAAAATATCATAGGTGTGACCTAGTCTATTCACTTTATTTATATCATCAGTTGTTGACTTTACATTCTGTGGTTCTATTTTCGGAGTGATAGTGAAGAAATCAATCACAAATATTTGATAGAAGTAACTTAATAAACACACATATTTAAAAGGTTTAGTTGTCTTTTTAACCAAACTTCTTTTTTATTTTATAAGAATAAGTTGGTATCTAAATACAACACATCGGTTTAGCCATTCAGAATAAAAAAAAGGGTAATGATCAAAGATTAGCAAACTTTTTATTGCCTCTTTTAATTGAAATTTGGTTTGTTTGTTTGTTTTGTTTTGTTTTCTCATTACATTCACACCCAAATTAGTGATTTTATTTTAAACTAAACATTATGGTATGATTGATATATTGCCTTGACCTAAAATGTTTCCAAAGGTTCACATTTCAAGATGAATTTATCCTAGCTTAATGTAAGCAAGTTCATAGTTGAAGTTTACATTCAGTACCTTGATAATAAAGTCTGTAACTCGTAATAATATTAACCATCTGAAAATTTAAGGATAAACGTTATTGAAAACAATTCCAGCGAATGAATACCTTGGAAACCAAGGAGTACCGAACAAATTTTATATTCTAGTGAAATATTTTTCAGTAGTTCCCACAAACGATCCCAAGTCAACCAGTTAAAAAGTAGGGCCAGGCACATATATGCATCGGTCCAAGTTTCTATACCTCATTAGCACAGCAAGACAAACACCGGATTCATAGAAGCAGTTAAATCAACGGTGTAATATATAAAAGAAAGGTTTTATGTAAGGATATAGTACAGAAAGAAAGATATGAAGCGATTTTAATCTCATAGTTTAAGGGAAGATAGAGAGTGTATACACCTACACCATTGTGATCGATTCTGAGTCATGTCACTCAGAGTCTCCTGAACAAAATACAGAATCCAGGATTTTCATATTTCATGAGGTCCATGATGCTTAAACCACTGAATGATTATCTAGTATTGAATTACGGTTTCATTGAGGAGTTGCTTTCAATTGTCATAATTAGTAAATACAAATTTATTATTAATCACCTAGTTTGTAGAGATATGTTTAATTTATGCATAATTTTTATCCCGGAACTATTCTCAACTAGAAAGCTCTATAAAAGTCATAACTAGAACTGCTTAGAATACTTTCTGATTCACTAATTATGTCATATTGAACACTAAAATCAACATGAACAGAAATTTATGCAACAATCAGATAATAATCATGTATTCGTAATTGTCTAGTCCTATGGTGAACTTTCTGAAGCTTTTAACAGAAAACTATCACTTGTACAATCAATTTACGATATACAATCATGAGATGGTGGATATGTATCTAACTGTCAGATGTTTCCATAGTTTATTCAGATTCCAATTTCAGGATTATTTGTTTGTTTTTTATCCATTAATGCATTTTCAATAATACTGTTGAACAGTATTTTCCTTTCTTTTAATAATAATGATGAATATATCATCATAAGCTAATTTATATTATTTAGCGAAATATCGTCATTTTTAATGAAATCCAATTGTTATTATCATTCAATATCATATTGCTGAAACAGTTCAACCGTATGACTATATGACATTATATTAAGTAGCCTAGATCGATTTACTTCTAGATAATAGCAAAAATAAAAACAATGGTATCCCAAACTTGACATTGATCTGTTACCTAAAATTTGACAAAGTTGATTTCTTTAGTTACTTGAAGAAACAAGATAAATTTGATAGCTATGTCACATAATGCTTCCAGCGCATTAGTGGTCCTTTAGTGAATGAGAACACACATGAAGGATAACCAAATGTATTTGAATACGAAATTACAGAGTTATTTGGTAAAATGTGAATACCATACGCTCAGTACTTCATTTGCAGAATGTTTATTATTTGTCTCCGATTTTGTTGTTCCTTCAGTTTCATAGCCATCACTTTCTGTTTCCGTTCTCTCCTACTTGATCTTCGCAAACTTCTACTGCCAAGTATCCCACTTTCGATTGATGTTATATGCTACTTACATCTGTCAACATAAGTGACACACTCCACAATGCTCCCCCAGAATAAACCCACTAGTTTCAGGTTATTTAATGGGCATAAAGCTCTATCAATTACTGACATTTGAATCTAGCACATCACATTTTTCAACTTTGGTTAGTTCAAAATAAAGCGAGACGATTCGATACTGTCGTTTAATCATTATATATTGCAGCAAACCCCTATATGAATCCATTTATTTTTCAATGAGGAAAACGTGACTACTAAATGTGTATTATTGTGCTTTTAAATCATGTCGTATTTATTTTTCTTCGCATAATTATTCACTCCTGTCAACGTACATTTTCTGGATAGATTTGTGTGTTGATCGATATGTCTTTTACTTATTTATCTTATTCATCGTCTATTTGAACTATACTTAAACCCAAGCAATAATACACAAACTGATTTTGGCAAAGATGTCTAATTTATAATCCATCAATTCATTCACTCGCATGACCTTCATGATCATGAGAATGTGTGGTTTATAATATTCTTGGAACACTGTATACGACCTCGTATTTTACGTCTTTGTTGTATTAGCTACACAATTTTCAAACTTAAGTATGACAAACGCAACAAATCCGAGAACAAAAACTACTGAAGTCACATAGATATTATAATATCTAATAATATCCCATAACTTTGTACTTTAATATTAAAAATCTACCTTTACTCCCCTTTGAAAACAATTATTTTTCTGATAATATTTTTAGCAACTTCACGCAAGATATGTATTTCAAATTTTATGCGAATCCAGACAATGTATCATGTCACGTCCAAATATTCAAATGGCATCAACATCAATATCTCGACATATTACCGTTGTTGGTGATCTACATGGGCAATATAGTGATCTTCAAATTATTTTATATAAAGTTAGTATGATGTAGATAATCTCACTGTAACTAATGTTTTAAGCATATCGATCTATTCTAGTCAATTTTTTTTCATGAATGGTATCAATGAAAAGATGAAATAATCATAACTGAAGTAGTCATAATAGTTAGTTAGGATTCTGTAGACTGCTTGGACTATATTCAATAGAATAGTAGAATCAAATATGATAGAAAATTTGTGATCTTTTGAAATCACCATTTTGTTTAGATGTGCAACTTAATTTTTCATATAATGATGATAAAGATCTTCAGCTCATCTGAATGCATTTGACGTTGTATTCTCTGACCTAGATGATTTAATTGTTCTGGACAACATCATCAACGTCTACTTCATTTAAAAGTTAATTTTTCAGTTGTTCAATATGTGTTATATTAGTTTATAATGATCTTCCTGATATAGCATAATTATTGAACTGGACTTGTTTTTGTAATAGTAAACCATAACAAATCACATTCATACCACTATCAAAATTGACTTTTATACTGTCAACGTTCTTTGATATATTGACTTAAGAAGTATTCATTACATATATAGATGTCCTATAGAAACATGGTTTATTCTCTGTCTGATGTACACATATGTTTGCTTTATATCCATATTGTTTTAGAACGGGATGCCAGATGTAACGAATCCTTACGTATTCAATGGGGATTTTGTTGATAGAGGTAGAAAATCTGTAGAAACTTTATTAACTATCTTATGTTTAATGCTGGTTCGACCAACTTCAGTATTTATAAATAGAGGCAACCATGAAGATCTTTATGTAAACTGTCAGTAAGTCATAAATGTCTAGTTATTTAATTGTCGTTATCAGTGACTAGGTAGTTAAAAGTATTATACGAAGATTACTTGAGTCATGACCTAAATAACCATTGCTAACCAAAGGTATATGGTAATTGTTCTGTACTTTTAAGTGTAATACTCAAATTCGTGTACTCACAATCTCTCCACGGATTAAAACTAGGACCCTCGAGTCTCTCAGTGAGCTTGTTATCCTTTGATCACTTGATTAGAATAAAAAATCCCACATTTCTAACCTCAGCCACTTCACGATAATCCCATTGCTCCAATGTATAGAGCTCCTGGATCCGATCCCTATTCGACTCGTAGGTGTGTCATGCTACATGATCTCATAATAAGAAGAAACGATCTCTATCTCATTAAGACCAGTCCGCGATACAAACTCTATCCAGGTTGATCAATTTCAACAAACCTCCTATCATAATAGTAGTATGACTGTTTAGGAATCATGTCTCCCATTATCATTTAACATGGACAAAAAATCTTTGAGCCATGAAGTTACAAGTCTATCTGAATTATTGATGGAGATATAAATATGTTTCAAATAGTCAGTTGACTTGCAGCTAGACAAGTGTTCGTTCAATATTTTCGCCTTAATTCTTTCACTAGTCATTCATTCCGTAACCTTAGTTCAATTTTTGTTAGTTATTAATATTGGTCTTAAATAATAGCGCTTACTAGTTGAGAAAGATCACTTAGTTAACGTACTCAATGATCGTCATTAGTTCTTGAGAAATACGGATGCGTTTAATTCTATATGAGTCTCTTCAGTTGTGTGCCAGCATCTCAGTGCTGATGTCTACATAAGGACTATGACCCAAAATATTTTCTGCTCTAAATAATAACACGTCATCTACTGAGTTTTTGAATTTCGATAGTTATTAACTTGTTTAACGCGTGTAAAATTATTAGCAAGGGTTTGTACTTTCCTGATTTTTGAGGTGCATCTGTCTGATGAGTCCCCAAAAAGATGAAATATGCATTTTGAATTTTCTTGCTTCTAATCGTTTACTAATTCTCTTCAGTTACTTTACTGATTCAGAAATTATCTAGACCCTTATCCAACTTTTTCTGTTTAGATTGGACCTATTTACGACATCAAATGTAGACCACATTTCTATCATAATCTTGATCTAAATAGATAATGAATTGATTTTGTAATTGTTATCTGGAGAACGGTGAAATCTCTCTCTACATTTTTCATCTTTTAATATTTTCAATTTCTTTTTTCTCTTCTAGATATGGATTTATAAAGGAAATTCAAAAGAAGTATAAAGTAAGCATATATGAAACTGGATACATCAGTTTATTCCTGATCTAGTATTGTTGTTGTTGTATACGTATCTTCAGAATTATTATTTCATATTATATCATTCAGTTACATAATAGCTAATCAAGTTTCTTTTCAAATAGCTCAAATAACAACGTATAGTTTAATGTTTTTATACCATAGTAATACCAGAGTGGACATCAACTCTGAGATGCAGACACATCTAGCTGACAAGTCCCAACTAGGACGAAACACGCGTCCTGGATTCCACTGCTAGCCACTCTTCAGCTTTACTTATAATGATAAGTTCACCTATAATGTTATATGTGTAACTAACGAATATACTAAATGATGATTTTATAAACATTAATGAGTTCCAAATAAATTGTTGTCAACTATTAAGAAAAACAAAAAATAAACCTTGAATATGAAAATATCTGCTCACAGGCTGGTATGTTGCATCAATACTTTAACAAGATTGCAATCAGAAAGCTTTGAAAAACCAACAAACTCCCTAGAATTACTAAGTTCTAACATTTATCAGTATTTTATGAAGAAATACTTTTGATGTATTCAAACCCTCTAGTTATTTGTTAAAAAGGGACTTCACATTCAGATCTTTTTTTTCGGAGAAACTCCCCAATTCATTCTTAAACGTATAATTTTGCTGAAAACTATTGTTCCATATACTTGTGGTATAAATTAATAAGAAATGAATTTCATTATTATAATGAAGTCACATCAATAAATAAATTAAATAAAGTCTATAACAAATTCGTTGTTATTTAAAATATTATAACAACTTAAAACTTGTCTTTCAACTTTAAACACTCATCCAATACATTATGTTATATTAGCAAATTACTATTCACGATCAAATGTGATGGCGAAACTCTGAAATCTTTCACGTACCTGGGAAGCATCATCGATAAACAAGGAGGATCAAATGCAGACGTAAAGGCGAGGATTGGCAAAGCAAGGGCCGCATTCCTACAATTGAAGAACATATGGAACTCAAAACAACTGTCAACCAATATCAAAGACATAATCTTCAATACGAACGTCAAGACAGTTCTAGTATACGGAGCTGAAACTTCGATAACTACTACGACCAACATCAAAACAGTACAAGTATTTATAAATATTTGTCTACGCAAGATACTAAACATTCATTGGCCGGATACCATCAAAAACAACCTACTGTGGGAGAGAACAAACCAGCTTCCAGCTGAAGAGGAAATTAAGGAAAGACGCTGGAGTTGGATAGGACATACATCACACAAATCATCAAACTGCATCACGAGGTCTGTATTAACTTGGAATCCTAAATGGAAGTGGAAAAGCAGAAGGCCAAAGAACACATTACGTTGGGAAATATAATTAGATATGAAAAGGAAGAATAACAACTGGAAAGATCTGGAAAGGATTACTCAGGAAATGATTGAATGGAGAGTGCTGGTGGGCAGCCTATACTCCTCCACGAGGAGTAATAGGTGTAAGTCAGTAAGTAATTCAAGATGTGAAGTTTGATGTTGAATTTTGTTTATACCATTTATTAGTTCGTTGCATGTATTCATGGTTATTGTTATATTAAAAAGTATGAAGAGCGTATTATATATATTTGAATATATGAATATTTTATTTATATTTGTTTAGTCTTCAGCTGGTATGCTAGTGAAATGTTTTGCAGAATTTTATCGTTATCTTCCGGTGGCCACATTAATTGACGATAAAATTTTTGTCTGTCATGGTGGTATATCAGATGAAACTGATTTGAACACATTAGGAGATTTAAACAGATTCTCGGTAAGTTTTAATTTTTTCATAGCCTATAAATAAACTCTATTGATGACAAACGATGATGTTTTGTGAAATATAGATCCTATTCAACTTCGTATATACTATCTGACTTATCACATTAATACAACTTAGAACTAAAAACAGCAATACGAATTGTGTCTACAATATGCATATCTCAGACAATTTTGTGACCAGATTATCTGGGCGAATGAATATGGCAAATGGTATTTCAGCTAAAATCAGTGAATAATAGGTGATTCAATATTTGTAAAAGAATCTATGAAATACAATTAAATAGATATGCACATACGTACCATTATGTACATATTTATAATGACATTTAAAGACACTAATGATGAATTAACAAAACTATACGAAAATGTACAAGATAACCAATAAGAATAACATCGACTATCTATGGAGAAGCTAGAATAATTTACCCAGGGCTGTAACTTCTTATTTAAGATAAGTAAGAAGTTTTATCGATATGGGGTTTTTTCATGAATAGTTTAGTGATATTTTTTTACATGTTTGTTTGTTTAATAACACAGTAACTTTGTTAAATCATAGTATTACTAATTTTCTCAGTAGTGGAGCTATGGCTAAATGATTAAAGCTTTTAACTTTCAATCAATCAATTGTCAGTTCATACCTTTCTACACCGCCTACTTCGGTTTGGGCAAACCAGTAGTATCATTTACTTTACAATATGTAGTTGGAAGACAGTTACATGAATTTATACCTGGTAAATAAGCTAAATAAGTAATATAAATACTCCATTCATCTATAGTGTTTACAGTTCTATGGTGTGCCAATAGTTGAAATTTCTTTAATCTAATAACATAAAGATATATATATATATATATATATATATATATATATATATATATATATATATATATATATATATATATATATATATATATATAAAGCATTACGTATTAACTTTATTACTCTTCCTTGATAAATACCGTCAATTTTTACTAACTTGCTGTATCATACGTGCAAGAAACTGTCTTTATTTTTGAACATATATGGTAGAGTTGCTGCATTACACTCCATTGTATACATGACATAATATCTAATTAGATATTAGCTAAAGTTTTATAGGAAAAAGTTAACTAACAACAAAAAAGCAATAAGCGTATTACTTCACTTTACACGATTGTCTACTTTTTCTATAGTTTACATTTACATTTTACAAGTTCTGAATTTGAAAATAGCATTTAATTAATACAAAGTTACATATGGCTTTTGATTATAACTTTCGTTTACTGTGAGATGGGTTCAGGATTCTTATTGATTTATTCATAATCTATAATATAGGTGATACATTAGAAATCTAAAAATGAATGAGTGTGAAGTCGTGACCAATGAATTTTAACCATATCTGTTATGAGGCAGTAACTCACTGAGGATAATGGTGGACGGTCGCTCAATATCGTTGATTGGTGGAAGTTAGACATTAACACTGTTGGATGCCAGCTCAGTGGTCTAGAGGTTAAGCGTTCACGTGCGAGACCGAAGGTCCTGGGTTCGAGTCTCGTGTTCAAGATCGTGGATGCACACTGATGAGGAGTCCCAAAGTAGGACGAAACGGCCACTCAGTGCTTCCAGATTTTTCGTGGTGGTCTAACATTGATCCATTTATGATATCAATCTAAAATGCCAATAGTTTGAATAAAAAGAGAGAAAACTCTCATGATAAATGGATCAGAAGTAACAATTTGTATGTTAAGAACAAAGAAAAGAAATATTTTCGTCAATGTAAAGGGTTTCCATACACATGACACAAGTTGATCACCGTTGTGATTTTCAACAACCTCTTGTGTTTATAAATAATGTGTGACATGGCATCCGTGATGACGGAATGTCAAAATTATGACCAATTTATAGCAGACGAGGTTTTAAGACAAAAATATACAATGAGTTATCATCTCCACTTTATCCTTTAAACACATGTAACTGAACCTTGAGACAAACTAGATAGCTTTGCTTAAGAATTAAGACAATCCATTTTGGGACATCAATAATCAAGTGAAATCTGTAAATTCCCTTAGCTTTCTGAAGTCAGATATTACAAATGGATCGAAGAGGTTTCATCATTTCAGTGTTTTAAAACCTATGTTTTGTGGCTAAACTACCACTACTCTTTCTCGCACCTTCCTTGCAAGAATTGATATTGTCACCTATGTCACAATCAACGATGAAATGGATACACGAAATTCTTGATTAGTCTTGACAACCATAGTTTCTCTGAGTCTTGTAAAAATATTTTTGACTTGCAAGATAAAAATCATGACATATTCACAGACTCTGATCGTTAACTGAATATGGGCGACTCAGGTGATTTATATTACAGAAAAAATATAGATGGTATCAGCTCTGCACGCAAAGTATGAACATCCTTTTCCAGATTATATGTTCACCATCGTATCAAAGGTGAACATTAAGGACTTTGTGAACTAGTTAGTCCTGAAACCTGGAAGAGGTGTGTTGCTTTTCTGATCAATCTTTTCTAATCCCCTACTTTGATTGTAACTAAGCAGCGTCACTGCAGATACTGGTTGTTTGAGAGGAATACCTCACTATTATCATACATTTGTAAAGTCGGCACTGCGACCTCGCCCAATGACAATGGTCTTATGCTTTCAACTGTACCGTTCTCCAAGAAATCTGTCTGTCATAGTACAGTTTAAAGGAACAAGTGTTTCAACCGATATAGCTCAAGTGGATCATCATCATATTCAGGTCGTGTAATCACGTTCAAGTATTAGTCACAGTAGATAAAGTTCGAAATCGATCTAACTTACCTCAATTGATTGACAATCAAATAAAAGGTTTGTGCCAAAAAGATTAAAAAATAGAAGTAATGTCATTTATTACCTAATTTCTTCCCGTCTTTCTTTTTTGTTTTATATATTTAAACAAATACAAAAGTACCTTACACTTTTAAAGCCAGTGGATCAATTAATCTCAAACAGTGATAGTAAAAAACAGGTAAGATAAACAAAAATTGAAAACAAAAATATGGTGCATTTTTCCTCTCGAATGATTTTATAAACAAAAATAGTTATCAACTCGAACAGTTAATGACAAATTCATAATTTCAGAAGGGGTTTTGTGGATATTATAGTAATTTTAATAGTTGAGATCATGAGTCGATTGAAGCTAGACCACCATGGAAAACCTGGAAGCACTGGACTTATGATCTCAACTATTAAAACTACTATAATATCTAAGAAAACTCTTCTGATAATAATCATCATCAAGAGGTTTTTCCTGGAGTTCTAGTGAGAAGCAGTGACCAGTGGAGTTCAACAAGGTCTGTCGTGAGATAGTAACTCACTGAAGACAACGGTGGATGTGTCGCCCAATTTCGTGGATTAATTAAAGTTAGACATTAACACCATTGGATGCCGGCTCAGTGGTCTAGTGATTAAGCGCTCGCACGCGAGACTGGTAGGTCCTGGGTTCGAATCTTGCGAGGCGGGATCATGGATGTGCACTGCCGAGGGGTCCCATAATAGGACGAAACGGCCGTTCAGTGTTTCCAGGTTTTCCATGGTGGTCTAGCTTCAATTGACTCATGATTTCAATTAATAAATTCATAATTATTCAACAAGGTTGTATTGAACGAGAACATAGATGACGACAACCAATTGTATTATATCCGCCGGCATATGTAGCATACACCACAAATTTACCAATCCAAAAATTTTAATTTTACACGAAATTTGCACTATATATACAACTGACTTTCGACTGTTTTCACACAAAATAATTGTGCTTTCTATGGTTCATACTACTATAAAATATCATTTCAAGTATTTAGAAATGATAATGGTGAGTTGTGATTCATATCAGTAGTAATTGAATAGGATGAACATTATTTAATAAATTGTATTAAGTGGAATAAACTGTGCATTTTCGATGAAAGCTCCACGACCAAACCATCCAGCCGAGAATACAAAACTCCATCAAAGACAACCACCTAAGCTACAAATCTTCATCACCATCTCATTTTCTGTTTGTTATATTTTTTTTAAGATAAATTGCTAAAGATATCATAGTTACAAAAGTTTCTCTTCAAATTGAATATTACACATGTTAACGACTGAACTTAAATGATTAAATCATTAAATACCAGTTAAAAGCTATGCGATAGTCACGAGATCTCATAGTCTTGAGTAGGGTGGTGGATACTACTGCTGATGAGTTGCACACTAGGACGAAGTAGTGGTCTAGTTTAACTTGAGTTTCAATGGTTGTGTATGTAACAACTGTTCCTTATGTTAACCACAAAATGTAATCATCTCTGCTAACTAGCCTAAAATTATTTACAATTGGAATATACTTTTTTTTCATCATTTACCTTGTGATTACAGTATCAAGACTTACTTTGGAGTGATCCACAAACACAATCAGGATTATTAATGAATGAAAGGCGTGGTTTAGGGTGTTCATTTGGTCCGGATATTACAAACTTATTTTTGAATAAACATAATTTAAGCCTACTTATTCGTTCACATGAATGTAAACCTGAAGGATTTGAATGGTCACATAATAAACAATTATTAACTATATTCTCAGCATCAAACTATTATACAGATGGTTCAAATCGTGGCGCCATTGCTAGAATTTCTGTTGATGGTTCTATACAAATAATACAATATGTAACTGGTGGACAGAAAAAATTCAAAACACTAAGACAAAAGTAAGTTATATGTATATATATGGTTTTTAAAGTACTCTACTTTCACCCATAATTAAAAATATTTTCTTACTCCTATATGTACAGAGGATGATTACGGATATTTTGAGCAGAAACATAAGTACCAAAGACATAAATATGACATGAGAACACTTCAAAACCGATAGTTCATTTACTATTAATATTTTAAGTTGTTCAAAGGTTTTTTCGATCCCTTGTCGAATTTAACTTTCCCACTTTAATATATATTTAACTCTACATCCAAATTGAATCTACATGATTGATCATTGGATTTGATTGTTTGAACATTGTACGGTATTGGTTATTATGTTTTCTGACATTTATTCTTACTAGAATTATAATTCATCTTTACCTCATAATAATCTTCTTTAAAAGTGAAGAAATTATTCAGAAAGGTTTTATTTTGAATCATCCCACTGATATTTAAAACTGCAATCGATCAGTCTCTTATTCAAACAACCAATGTAAAAATGAATTCAACTTCACCCCATTACACAAGCTAGTGGCTATCTAGACTTAGTAGCTAAGTGGATAACGCGATAACTTTTGAATCGAATAGTATGGGGTTCGAATCTCGGAATGAGCATCAACTCTGGGATGTAGGTATATCCAGTTGACGAGTCCCAAATATGTCAAAACACCCTTTATGGATTCCCACAGTTAGCTGCTATCCATCTCCGCTTATAGCATATTTCCTGTTATCACAGAATAATTGGAGGAAACATTAATAACTTTTGTAACTAACCCATTGTTTTTAGTAACTTTTAATATTATATTTTTCTAAAATTATTGTTTATAAACAAGTGATATCTAAAAATGAATAGTTTCGCCTAAATACATATAAACATAGGGAGTTTTTTGTTTGCTTTTCATTACTTTTTTTCAAATAGAGTTAGTTGGGCTGAAGAATCAGCATTGACGGATTTAAAAAACAAAATCGGTGCTTATTCAATAGAATTGAAAAGAGAATTTCAATCACTTGATCCTACAAATACTGGTAATGTTTATTTCTCATATTAACATATATGCCATTATTATTATTATCATTAATACGATCGATAAATTAAGGTTCCTATATATGATCCCTAATTGAATAGTAAGTTTTACATTATTCAAGAGGATCATACTGGTACTGAGTATCTAAGCAATGTTTCTTCGCTTTCAAAGGTTAGCTGACGAGTTTCAATCTGTGTGGTAAGCTTTAAAATTCAAACAGTTCCACGAACCCCCTTATACTAAACTAATGGCATTTTGAAATATTTGATTTAATAATATAAATTTCAAAGATAATTTTCATGATTAATTAATTTTAACTAATACTCCATTCAAAATTGAGGGGATAAAGAACAGTTGTTTAGTTCTAATATAGTACTATCATAACATTTTTAGAGCTTGATCAAGCCTGAATTCTTCAGAACTTTTAACAAGCATTATATCCTCAATATAAACTGTGTTGGAATTTAATTGTCCACAATTTCGATTTCAACCAATTTATAACAAATTCCTGTCAACATTCAATGTAATTTTATATTTTAGTTCTTCATTATTTCATTGATTGATTACGGTAGTCATGATTTTCCTTTAAAACTTTAGAATCCAATTTCAAAGCTATTCGTTAATAGTCACATGATAATTAATAAAGTTCATAGACTGTTGTAGCCACTTTTTAAGTAACTTTCATCACTGATAGTTTTTAAGTTGATTTCAATTCGTGATAAGAGCTACTTCCATAATGAACAAACATCTCCAGAAATCTAACTAAGACGAAATAAAGCATATTTTGTGATGAACAAAAACGCTATTGGTTAAATGTCAAAAACATACTTTCAATCCTGCATTTGCAAATTTTCCTTTACTGTTCCTTTATTTCCATGTAAATTACTCTCTGTTTCCATTCTCTTCTATTCGATCTTCTCAACCTTCTATTGTCAGGCATTCCATTTCTGATTGACGTTATATATTACTTATGTCGATGTTATGACCTTGAATCGCTTTTACCCCGTGATACTTGTTATGACTTGACCTTGATCTGTCTAGTCTAAATTATGACCTTGACGCGTTAGGCTGAGCGGCTTAACCTTGAGTCTAATACGCGTGAGCTCGAGATGGGGTAGAGAGACAACTATTCTAGAACCTGATTGGTTGGCAAGCGCGCAAGTGAAAGAAGACAAGACAGTTGGAACACTGAACACTGGATTCTCTGAATTCGGATTAGTACAAAAATGTATATGAATAATTATCAGAATGGGTTTTGTGGAGATTTTAGAAATTTCACAGATTGAAATCATGAGTCAGTTGAAGCTAGACCACCATTGAAAACCTGGAAGCACTGGACGGCCGTTTCGTCCTAGTTTGGGACTCCTCAGCAGTGCGCATCCACGATCCCGCATGAATAAATAAGTGAATATCTTGACTACGATGTACGATAATTTGGAAAAATACAGTTATGCCCGACATAAGTAGCACTCACCACAATATCCCAAACTAATAATAAGTTAATCTTGTAAATTTTAAGGAATCCATTATTTTAAAGTAGATGAAAGAAATCAGTGTCTAATTTATATAAAAAAATCCACCGTCATCTTGAATCATATGTTATGCTTGATTGTTTCATCAAAATTTATTGCATCATAAACAATTACCAAAGGGACTACTGAAAAATAAAACAAGTAGTTAAACAATGTTTTAATGAATCTTTATTTTATTTGAACGTTAATCTCTTGATGATAACGTACAGTTTATTCATGAAACAATGTTTTGAAATGTTGTTGATGAATTCGACCACAAAACAGTTACATATCTAACTGGATATATTAACACTAATTCAGTTCGTACAATCTTCAGATCACTCATCATCAAGAGTGCTAGGTTAATATTCTTTTACTGTTCCACCATACATACTTCATAAATATGTTGGGCAAAAAGATAAAAACTTATTAAGATCTTGACATCAGTTCATGATGATTGATCTACAACGCAGCTATAACTAGTCCATACACAAATCAAAAAAACAAACGAAATTTCTGTATTATAATCAGAATGTCACATCTTATGATACTGAATGAACTGTTTACAATGAAAATGTTTTATTAATGTTACTGTTACGTCCTTGATCTGTCTACCAACTTTTGTGAAGGATAACTTGTCTAATCTAGATTAAGATCTTGATGCGTTAAGCTGACTGGCTTAACCTTGAGGCTAGTATGCATGAGTTCGAAGTGACACCAACTGTTTAGTGTAAAGAGACGAATACTGTTCTACCACCTGATTGACTGACAAGAACGCGAGAAAGAGAAGACAAATCAACTGGAACACTACGCGATCTATTCCCGATTTCAGACTAGTTTAAAAGGATATATGAATAAATAGACGACTAACCAGACCACAACGCACATGATCTCAACTATTAGAATTAAGCTGTCTTAAAATAGATTTGTAGAATTTTGATCACACAATAACTAATAGAATTTTATTTCAATAAAAGAAAACAAATTTTCTTTTATATTATTTGTGTTTATTAAATTTTAGGCAGAATTTCTAAATTAGAATGGTGTAAAGCAATGGAAAAAGTGTTAGATTTAAAGTTACCATGGAGTACACTTCAACCACGTTTAGTTGTTACATCTAAAATACCAAATCAAGTAGAATATTTAACAACATTTCAAAAACTTACTACTTATAATACCCCATCAAAGGTAACATTATAGATAAATATTTTTTAACATTATGTTACTAACTTATGTCTGTTACCCCTCGTGGAAGAGCATAGGCCCCTCACCAGTATCCTCAGTCGAACGCTGTCCTGACCATTCTCTTCCAGTTGTTTCCGGTTACTATTCAGTCTTTTGATATATGCTTCCAATTCCCGGAGCAATATGTTTTTTGATCCTTCTCATTTTTGTTTCCCTTCAAGATTCCAAGTTAGCATTTGCTTCGTGATGCCGTTTGATGATTTACCCAGTATATGTCTTATCCACTTCTAATGTTTTTTCCTAATTCCTTCTCCAGATGGGAGCTGGTTTGTTCTCTCCCATAGTAGGCTGTTACTGATGGTATCTGGCCAACAGAAATTCAGTATATTGAGTAGACAACTGTTTATAATTACTTGTACATTTTTGATGATGATTTTAGTAGTTCTCCAAGTTTCAGCTATGTACAGTAGAACTGTCTTGACGTTCGTATTGAAGATTTTGACTTTGATGTTCTCTGACAGTTGCTTTGAGTTCCATATGTTTTTCAATTGTAAAAATGTTTCACTTTCTTTACCAATCCTTGCCTTTACGTCTGCAACTGATCCTCCTTGTTTATCGATGATGCTGCCCAGGTAGGTGAAAGTTTCTGCACTGAAACCGACTGCTGTAATGGCTGTTGCTACATTGGCTGTCTTCACTTGCGTTTGTTGATGAATTTTAGAATACCTTGTGTTCATCTATATTCCTGGTCAAATACCTGAAATGTTACTATCTTGAAACCATTTATTTTCTATACTCAGTAATTCTTAACACGCAATTAAACTCAAAACTGGGCTGATGATGTTGTCCAGAATAACAATGAAAGCTCTACAACCAAACCATTTAGCTCAGAGAATAAAACTCCATCAAAATCATCCAACTGAGCTACAAATCTTCCCCACCATGTCATTCTTTGTACACACTAGGGTATCTAACCGGCTGCTATTTTGAAACAGGGAAATAATCAAGTATATCTCATTAAGACTGCCTATAAGCCGAAAACATATCGAATAATCTTCACTTATCAATGTTGTATCTAACTTTAGAATTTCCATGTTTTGATAAGAATGGATTCTGGATTGAATAGCTTTCTAGTTCGTAAAATTTTATATTTCTAAACACATAGTATAATGCGTTTATTTCCATTGAACTCATGGTAAGTACGAAATTAGTGTGAACTTTGTTAATGGAATTATTATATATAAATATATTTGTAAGTCGTAATCGTCACAGGTTGATCTCAGTTGGGATAGAATCAAATACCAGTAAGTATCTGATGGCTATTTGATACGATCATAAGACGTCTCAGTTGTGCACAACTACGGTCAACCAGGGGACCTTCAAGTCGTTCTGTTACAATAACGACCTTAACCAATCAACTAAATGATACGACAATCATTCTATGCCATAAGAAACATCTGTTTTACCCTCAACTTGTCTGAAATCCACCAGCTACAACTTCTTACTTAACTTCAGAAACATCTGGCAATATGTCACTGGTGAGCTTGCTAATATATCTTAGTCAAAAGAATTTTGTAAAGGTTGACTCGGTTTATAGTTTGCATCTGTCTTAGATTGATCGCTGCCAACACTCTAATTTCATAGTAACTTTAAAAATAAAAGGTAGTTGCCATTACATTCTTGCAGTTGATCTTCATGGTAATGATATATACCCGTATTAAATTATCTGTAAGTTTTTTTTTGTTTTCCTGTTGTTGATGTTAAAGACTGTGATTGATTAGTCTCTATTGGCATATATACATCTTCGATATTGCCATTTAATTACCAATTTTTTCTAACCTTGATGCATCTGGATGATGGATCGTTAATAGAAAAAAAATGTGCATTCTGAACTCTACTGTTAACTCCTATTCAACCCAAATAGAAACTTGCGGTAAACAAGGTTTGATGTTCACCCATCGAACAGGAAGAATAAAGAACATCTGACATTGAGTCACTTAGATTAGTAGCCATATTATAACCTAATCAATAGAATTCGGTCAATACATAGAGATTAGTTACTGCTCAATGACCAGTCAATGTAGTTATCTACTTTGTAAGTGTATTTATTGAGTCAAGGAAGGAAAAGTAACTTGGAATTCAATATGAATTAAATAATCTGTTGCATTGTAGCCCTTTTTATAATTTTAGATATTATAATTAATTTCACCATTCATTTATCATTCTAACTTCCATACTCAGTTATATTTCGACACAGATAAACTTTAAATTGTCTTCTAGTTGGTAAACAATTTTTTAGTTTTGAAATTTCTTGTTTAATCAATTTTATTAAAAAAAATACTGTTTATTTACAAATGAAACAAGGTGCCACCTTCAGTCACTGAAGAAATGTATAAATTTCGTGATGTACTTGAGGGAATCTTTAGAGCAATGGATAAAGATAATTCAGGTAAGTTAACTTCATAAGATATACTACATTTTGAAATATATATACATCCGATAATAAATAAATCAACAAATCTACAGTGAACAAACGATGCTTCAATGACATCTATGATCGATCACTAGTAACTCATAAATATCCTTGATTCTTAATGTCCGTACTTCATATATATAAATCAGAAAACTTATCTTTTGGTTTATAAATGGATAACTCCCCTGCATCACAGATGACGCAAGTTGGTAGAGCCAACCGAGCCGAGTTTCAATCAGACATCAGCCCACCAAGCCTGTTAAGATCTTTAGATGGTATTGGATTCATCTTCTGTCTTTATTATGTCTATTGGGCCTGATTAAATGTGTCCAATGTGAGCAATATTGACTCTGAGATATTTCATGATCCTTATCGGAATTTCAGAAAATCGACATTAGGTAGGATGGTCAGTTGGGTCGTAGAAATGATCCGACTCAGCATTCCCGAAATCATTTTATGGTGCTAATTTCTATTTGAAGTAGAAGTTGATGTTGTTTCTGAACAATATGAAGATATCTTTAATTGAAGCATTCAGTTTACTGAACACAAAACTGACAAAAATGCTTATTTGTTTTAATTTATTACTGAATGGGTTAAACACTTAGTAAAATAATTCCTGTTTGATCTAAGACATATACTAAATCAGAACTGACAAGAACACTCGATAAAAATGATCACAAAGTAATGAATTCTAGTCCATCTAAATTCATCCCTAGAAAAATCTAATGTAAAACTTACATTTTTAGTAAAACCTTAATAAGACAAGACCTTGGACAATGAAATTGAAAGCTCTCTTCATATAATTTCCAATTCACAAGTGATAAGACAATCAAAATTACACGTTTTTATCAGTCAGTACTTTATGATAGCATACTTTTAACTCATTATCTTTAACAGTAAATGGTTGTGGAGACTATTAAATTTTACTGAGATCACAAACAGACGTAAGTAAGAGTACCATTGAAAGCCTGTAAGCACTAAATAATCGTTTGTTTCCAGCATGTAAATCTGGCAGAGCTCAGCTACAACCCCGCAACCGAGATTCCAACCCAACATCTTTTACCTTGCACACGAACTCTCAACCTCTAGACCAATGAGCCAGCATCCAATATTGTACAAGCCTAACTTTCATCAGTTCACCATATTGAGCTACTATTTATCACTACCTCCATTGGGTAACTTTCTCATATTCGGCAAAAATAAAACTGCAAGTTGATTTGAACTTAATTGTGTGAGTCCGATTCATGAAGACCCAGTACCGAAGAGTTCCATTCATTACTTTTAAATTTTCCGTGATTATCTAACTCAGATTAATTCATGATCTCAATTAAGATAATTAATTGAATTGATGCTTTATTTTCTAATACACAAAACATATATAGGTCGAATCTCATTAAATGAATTTAAACAAGCTTGTTTACGTTTACCTAAATGGACAAAAATCGATGAACAAATAGTAATGGATATGGCACGTTCAATTGATATTAATAAAGATGGTTTAATTGATTTCAATGAATTTCTAGAAACATTTAGATTAGTTGAATCCGATCATGATCATTATGAATCAATAACTGATCAACAAATAGATGAATGAAATCACTGAATTTTTTTTTATTTTTTAAAAAGAAGAAGGAAAAAAACGTTTCTTTATTAAACTATTGAATTAGATTGATGCAACCATTTCTGTTTATTATTTTTGATCTAACCAAAATAAACAAAGTGTATCTATGTTCCGTTGGATTCTTATCCTTCAATTAAATTCCATTTTTTCCAGAAAATATGTTATTTCTTACTTTAAAAAAAATATTATAAAAGGCGGAATACTCTATTTTAGAAAGTCACTATTAATCTGTATATGAATTCATTATTATTTTATGAGACTTGCTAATGATTCAATTAGAAACTATGACAAATCGTCAATTGTTTAAATTCACTATTCATTTATTTATGATTACATGATTTGCATAATTTAAAATAAACAAGAGCTTTTAACACTTTAAAATGTATATTATTCAACGCTTAGCGTTTTTTTTTATACATTTTTGTGTGTATACAATTAACCACACCCAGTTGGTAACAAAAAGGAAATATTCACTGCAACCTCGCCTACCTTTCTTCTTCTTCTTCTTCTTCTTCTTCTTCTTCTTCTTCGTCTTCTCACGACTTTTTTTTTCATTGTATTCTGTCTTTTTTAAGTGTACTTTTTTTTATATAACCAAGTTTATGTTATGGATAGTGAATCGATTTGGTCGATTGATTTTAAATACCATTATTTTGTAAATAAAATTGTCTCTGAATCTCTTCTCCTTTTTTAATCGTTTTAAAATGTTCTCTTTGGAGAAAATGGATTATTTTACACTATTGAACTGATTAACTGTTAGAAAACCTTATAGATTATCATTATTATATGCCTTAGTGAATACTTGGAAGACTTCACTTTATTTGTGCTTTTAAATTATTATGAAACGAAAACATAGTGTGTGGTCTTTATACGTCTTTACATTTTTCTTACTATTAGGTAACTAAGTGTAATTAATAAGAGGCTCTAGATTTGTGTTCTGAGTTACTTGACGCTCAATCATAAATCTTGAGTAAATTCTCTAACGAAATGATTATCCACTTGTAACTACCTGATAGATGGGTATGATAATGGTGAATGGTATGCACTGACAATGTACTTATTAACAACGAATATAATCGATACTCTCAGTATCTTATATTTCACTAAGTCACAAGAATATTTTAAAAAAATATGCCCATTAAATGTGAAAAATTATTATTCAGAAATAGTACAACTACTCATATATATTTACGATGGACCTAATATTTTGTGTGATGGTTTGAGCTTTTCCGTTGACAGTATTAAGGACTTTGTTTGAAAGGTCTCAAATGACATATGCTTGTCCCGATCAAATGCATTACATAATATTAATAGAGCGAAAACTGAAACCTTTACATATAATTTTATACCCGCCGCATAAACTAATTATTTTCTAAACTCCGCAGCTGAGTGAGTAATCTATCGGCATTCAAAGTACTGATTTTGATTGTCAGAGTGAATATTAAAGATGGAATGTAATTAAATATGACAAAAATAGCTTCCTCGATTCTATCACTTACCACAATCCAATTTTGCTATAACTGAAGTTACTATGAGAAGATGACTGAATAATTTATTTTAGTTCAACAACGGAATGTATTATTCAATACATAGTATGAACCAAAAATTAGGGTGGAAAGGTACCTATTTCAATTGCCAATAGCTTAGAATGCAAATTTATAATTAAGGTACTTTTAACAGAGTAATGCTGATATACTGTTGTTAGGTAAACTGAGATAGTCAGCTTTCTTTTCACCTAAACATATAAATATAAAACAAATCCAATCCAAAATGAAATTATGTTATTTCTCTTCAGGCATCTGAACAGTGAATGTGGGCTTTTGTTCCAATAAATGACTGGTCACAGTTATCTATTTTCTTAACCACATGAACACTCATAAGAACCCATTCATATTGTTTGTGAAATTTTGGAAGATAGATAGATACTTCTTACCAGATATGAACAGCTAATTGTTTTCGAAGGTATTCCACATGATTTTCTATTAAGTGAGTGTACTTAGAACAAAGTGACATGAATCTAAATTAAGTTGATTAATAGCTATCAGTAGAATGTAGGACGTTTGTTTCGTCCCATTTAGGACTGGTTAGCTGATGTGCCTGCAACACACTGTTAATGTTCACACAGATATTCAACCCCAGTACCTTTCGCTTCAAGCTCAATCTGTTATCCCTTTAGCTCCAGTGACTTGAAAATTATTCTTCCTTGTTAAATATTTGGTTATAATAAAATGTTAGAAAATATGAATTTTATAGTTTCATGCCAGCTACTGCATCTTCGCATGTTCAAAAACCTCTTAAATCACCTCGTTTGAAGTCCGGTTTCGAGTCATATCTATATGTTAAATCTTTTCATATCCATAGACTAATGCACAAAGACTTTATTTCTATATCAACACGGACATTATATAATGGTTAAACTACATAAATAATACAAAAAATAATGTATTTACAGTGAATCATCTTTGTACTCTTTTTATTCGTATGACTGTTTGTGTCTGCAGAGAAAAGTTGTATAAAAGATAAGTCCCAGTTGTCCTAATATTCCAAATAACCGTTATTCAGCAACTGACAAAGTATTTTCTTCAAAATACTATTTTGTCGTTTTTAGGACATTTTTAAGCAATTGTAAATGTTTGCAATCTGTCTAATCAATTGCCAAATTTAAGATGATAGATTAATTGGTTTATGAGGATTAGTCCAACTTCAAAATAATTTTTGTATCACAGACTATAGTCAGCTGGAAAACTACTGAAAATTAGGAAGCACTTAACAGCTTCAGTCTAATTGAGTATTTTTTTAGTAACAGAACGAATATTACTGATGGCACTAGGTTGTGGTCGCGTATTACCATGAACTAATTAAATTTTGACCAGCGTATTCTGTGACTCACTCTTTGTAAAATCTTGAGGTTCTGAGTTCAGCTCCATGTGGTATTGAAGAAGGAGTCCAATTTATGACGAGCCGAGTGTTTATTCATCACTTATTTTCAAACATTTACCATCTAACGCTCGTCAGTGACAAGAAAAAAATTGATTATACTCAATAAAAGAAGGTTACGTTTCAATCTTCTTGTACGTTTTGATTAAATAACCTTCAACAAGTTATTCTGTCAACGGTGCAGGATAAACAGAAGCCCAGACAAAGTGTTTCCGAAATAGTTGATTTGCCACAATAGATCCAAATGATGCAAACAATAAACATAGTAGCAAGCGAATTAACGAGTATTGTTTAACACGTAAACATCCATGTGTAAGAGAAACAATAAAAATTTCTAGCAATCAGTGCTAAAGTGGATAAGAGAGATAAAAGTATAAACTGACTTCCGTAAATTTGGTTATACAAACTTATTCTTATATACTGTTTAACTGCACCCATTTTGTCAGTAAGCCGTAAATTTAATAACTGAGTTGTCTATTTCATAAAATGCTCACTGGAACGTCATAAATCCGCATCAATTTAACGGCGAGTGAAATGAGAAGGCAATAGCTTGTAGAATGATTGATTCACTATCTTTCACCTACTTTGTGATAAGTCTAGATAATGATTTTAGTATCAACCATTTTACACAAATCATCATGAATTTTCCAATCTAAACGACTTTCCAGATAAATACGAAGTGTAAAGTAATCCAAATAAAATACACATTCTGTCTTGACTACTTGTGAGTAGTCTAAACCGGTAGGAATGTTTTTAATCACTGAAAAATTTACACCATACTACAACACAGATATATAATCGAAGAATATTCTTTTAAACAAACTCCCTTCAGGTTCTACAATTATGTGTCTAACTTAATAATCCGAAATACGGTTAGGTTTAAAGCGAAATACAACGTTTAAAGTGATAGCATATGAATTCAGATTTGATTGTAATATAAATGACTAATTTGAAGTGTTGACTTGAATAAGATTATACGTTAAACGTAATAGCGAGGATTATAATCAGAATAAATTCGGTTAACATGGGTTATGAGAGATAATATTGTAATTAGAAATTAGAAATTATGTAATATTTAGAATATTATGAATTATGTACGAACTAGTGAATAGGGTTGGATGTTGGGTAAATTTCTTAAAACGTTTACAAGTATTATAATAGTAATGATAACAATAACGATAATAATATGTGTGAATATGTTTAGTCTATGAAAATGCAGTGAGGAAGGTTGTATGAACATTCATCGAATTATATCACCATATCATCATAATGATTGAATAATTAGACTAGAAGTTGGCCAAGATAATAGGAGCGATTGAACTTACTTCTAGACACAAAGCTCAAAAGTTTTGATCCAAATAGTTATTGCTTCAGACATCTGAAAGATTATAAATCTGAAGGATTTAGGCAGATCATTGTTCACACAATATGTTATCGTACATGATTGCTCCATGTTGGCTGTATGGCCAGTTTGTATTAAATAAGCTAAAACCCATCTGTTAATATTTTTAATTATACCTTTGCTTAACCACACTGTGAGGTGCTAACAGGCACGAAAATACGGATTCCTAGAACACCTTTTAATATAACTTGCTACGCAAGAGCAGTTGGATTGATAGATACAGAAAAAGGTGGCTAGTCTAATTAATTTATCTATGAATCTTGTAGTGATCATCGAACGTAGGGAAAACATTAATTATAGTTTACATGCATTGAATTACTTTAGTATTAACATTTCGCGGGTTGCTTCGTCTCTAGGTTGTAGGCGTATATACAGAGGGTTTATGCTACCAGTTATATCTTCTTAACGCTCTCTTATCATGGCTGAATGTTTATTCATAAGCTTTTTCGGATATCCATTTTCTTTCAGATCAGTACGCAATGACATTTTTCTTCTTTAACCGCATCTAGGAACCATGCAGTCTTAATTCGATAATGAAAAGTCTTAACCAAGTTCCTTTTTACTGTTAAGGAACAAAATTAAAAAATTTTTGTATATTGACCAGTCCAATTAGTTTTCTGTTTTAAGTCCTTTCTCAGTGACTAATCTATCCTCCTTGCAAGTAAAACATCGACAAAAGCTATTCTACCTCTATTTCTTCATCATATGTGAATACGATAGACGGATGAACTTCTTTAAATTGCTTGAGTGTCTTTATTCGGTCAGTATGATAGTTGAACTTATCGCATATATATCGATAGTTAAATGAAAACTTGTCAATATGCTGTGCCAATTGACCGTTTTCTAGTTTAGTGGAATAAAACCTCAGCCGTATGGAACCTAGGGGCGAAGACATTGTAACACCATCTATTTGTCTATATATTTCATCAATGAATTTGAAGTTTACGTTCATAGTATATTTCAGTAATAATTCCAAAAAGAAGTCCACCGGGTATAGTCTTTCTTGTTCTCTAAGTCATTCACACATATATTCAACAATCTCCCTGTGTGGAACATTTTTAAACAATGATGTTAAGTTAAGGACATCATCATTTGTCCTTTGGTGTTTACGTTTTTGACCTTGTCGACGAACTGGAACATATCCTTAATATTATGCTTCACTGTATGTTTGTGGAGTGGTTTTAAAGTGGTTACTAGCCACTTTACTACAGTATGCTAACGGGAATTGTAAATGTCTAAAATCAGTCTCAATGGGATATCCGGTTTGTGTAGCTTTGGCGGTCGGTATAATTTTGGTATCAACGTCGTTGTTTCGTTTGATAGAATTACCTGTTGATCCCTGAGGTTTCCCAAATATCTGGTCTGTTCATTCTCTATCTTATTATTGCATCCTTCTAGTCATTCAGATTTTGGAATTTTAAATGACCAGTCAAGATGTTATTCACCTTGTCGATGTAGCCTGTGTGGTTGAACAGGACAGTACCCGTTTCATTGTTTCGTAATCATTGAATTTTCGTCATTATTAAGTCCACGAATAGCTTTGTGCTGTAGTTATATCTGCTATTCTGAAATTGATACCAGTAATCAACCAGAAATGATCTAAAACGCCCAAGACCTTAATCGAAGGTCGGAACTAGATTTTAAATTGGATGTCTTTATTTATTTATGCAGTTTCGTCCATCACAATTTTAGATCTAGTGATAATGATCCAATTTTTCCTTTATTTAATTAGTTACCGGAAAATTTATGAACATAAATTATAAGTTCAATCGGAGATTTATTTTGAACTGGTTGATTTTCTATGCTTTTGAAAAGTTGGATACGTCTCTTCACTGATCTTTGTAACTCAATGTTTTCTGTTAATTTATCAACAGTAAGTTTCCTGTGAGCAATCTTTACTTCGAACTCCAAGTCAGTATTTAATAGATCAAATTGGTTTAATGGATAATAATCCAATGCTTTTTTGTTTTGATGAACTTGATTACGGCAATAATATCTTCTACAGAAAAGTTTTGGATTATGACGTGATTCAATAAAGTTCCCAATAAATTCCAACGACGTTTTAGCTTTCTTGAACTCTGCGCTATACTTCGGAACTTTATTGAGTGCCTTCAACTCAATGGGTTAATCCTATTTTAATCGCTGAAAAACCCCCATCATTAACGATTTTATTTTATATTATAAAGTCTTGAATTTACACGCTATAATTCTAAACGATGTATTTTACCTTGAACCTGGCCATTTTTTTATTAGTAACTTAATATAATTGTAGAACCTGAAGAATATTCTTCGTTAATATGTGTTTTAGAAATGTTTTTATTTAAGTATTATCCTCAAATCAGTAAAACATCTTGTATAATTACGTATAGACTTTCAAAAGGTATGTTTTCACTAAAAAATGAACAGGACCTCACAAGTAGAACAGACTTTCTTTCATTCAAACATCACTTAGTACACGAGTTCCATTTTGCTATATGGTTGCTCTCAGAAATTGACTTTGTGACTCCAGAATTACATACCTCCATCCAGTATAAAACTATGAAATTGATAAGTATTATTCAGTAACACTTACTTGATAGCACTTCATGGCCTACTAACATTTTATTACTTAATCTAACTTAGTCAGACATTTTGGAAGCAATAGGCTTACTGAAATAAATGAATTATTTGATATTACTCCGTTAATTAAGTGCAGTTCATTTATAATGTCAATTCTCTTAAGATATACAGACAGATCTAGTTGACAAATACCAACTATCACGAGTTCTACATCCAGAGTTTCCCTTTAACCACATAATATCACATTATGAAAATAAAATTCAATAGTTCTGGAAAAACAACACCCATTAAGTACAGTATACTCCTATGATCCCGACAGAAAATTTGAATGAACAGATACACGGAGATCAGTAAATATAATTTCGGAAATAAAAAAAGAATTTTGAACAAGAGACAAATAGATAATTTTTTTAAGTCACATATGAAATCATTAATTAAGTAATACATAACAAACAGATAAAACGAAACAAAGAATAAGCACATATACAAAAAAATGTCAACGTGATAGTCTGTTTTGCAATGATTGTAAATCTGGAAAACGTATCTCCTTGAATTTCTGATGAAGATTTAAATCACGCATTGCTGAAACAGCCCGAGCTGGCGCTCCGGATAATCCAGACTAACATTTTTTAACAAAAAAGGTAGAAACAGGTTGATCACATATAAGTTCATGTTTTATGAATGATACAATCGGCACATAGAAAGAAATTAGTGCTTAAATCCGTTTTTTTTAAATTAGTGTGCATAGCGTTTACAATTTCACTTCAAATTTCACCCAAAACTCTTTTGGATATAAAACAAACTAGCTGCAATCGGATTATGAAACAGAAGGATTCATTTGTAGCGAACTATTGTACACTTAGGACATAATAAGCACTTAGTTAAATCCATAACCATATCACAAAGTGAGATAACAATTTGATATAAGCTCTTGTGTCCATTGAAACAAAACGGAATATTTATGTTGTGGTGTGGGTTACTTATATCCACACAAGTAGTATATAACGGTGGTCAGGTATAAATGTATTTCAGTAGAAGGTCGATGAGGAAAGAACCGGAACGGAACGCAATTGGTATGAAAACGTATGAACAATGGAATTTGAGACAATGGTTTGATGTTTGCAACAGGACCAGTCAATTTTGAGATGATGGGTTGATATTTTGCAAATTAACAATTTATTACATGGTTCTCAGATTTTACTGAGATGCTCTGTAATTTAATGTCAAATACATTCGATCGTCCCCACTGGTGTTTTTGTTCACTACAATGTGACCGACAGATCCTTATTACTTCTATGGTACGTACTCGTACACATATTATCGTCACCTTTTACTCATGTACATTTTCTGTAGGTATGCTATTCTATTTTCGTTTATTCATATGAACTATGTACGTGGGTTGGTTAGTATTGCCAATCCCAAAGACGTATTCACGCGATCATTTCCTGCCTGTCTCCTAATACGTTTTCTTGAAATACAAAACTCCCCGTTACATTTGTATTCGGCATTAATATCATCTTTATTCAAATGGCATTAGCTAAATTATTATATAGGAAATTAATAATGGGGACCAATAAATTATGGAGTCAGATGGGCCACGAAACGCCATAACGTAAAGACTCCCATGCAAGTCAACGGTCGCAAAGCGAAAACCAACGGAAGCATAGATATGAATAAAAATAGAAACAAATTGAGCATTGTGTAGATTGTTATAAATAAATAATATATTTGTAATATCAAAATGAGATATTACAAATATATTATTTATTTATAAAAATAGAAACAATTACGGTGCGAGAAAAGTTACACGTCAGTAGTGTAATGTTTAGAACTTTAGGGAAGATGTGCAATGGACAACGACGGTTTCTAGTTATCCCAAGCATGCTATCTCTATACAACTGAATCCCCCTAAACTACTTGTATTTAGTAGGATGGTAAACTTAAAGGCGAACAGTTTGACAGTTAAACTGCTACAATATACTTCGATACGTAGACGTAAGTACAGTCTCTCGATCAACGTTTAGAAAGATCTATGAAAATATACTTTAGCCAAAACAAGGTCGTAAAACCACCTTATTCAATTGCCCAATCTCTTAGTTCGATCTGTTTTATTTTCGATAACATTTGGAAACAGTTCTGAAATACGTGCCGATATAGATTTCTTACTTGAAAACTTCTCGGCCTTGAGCTTGAGCATGATGCTGTTACATATTTTACCACTAAACAATGATTGCTATCCGGGTGGTTAACTCAGTGTTTTAGATACCATTAAGATTAGGTTCATTTCTCTGAGATTATAGTGAAACGAGTTATGTTGAACATAAACTTGATCATTCAAAGTTCAGCACTGATATAAAGCGACTAAATTTAACTCAATTATTTAAATTCTCACCCAGGTTGATTTAATTAATGATTCTAGTCTAGATGATGCTCAGGACCTTTCATTTTCAATCGTTTTACTTCATAACCATCTTCTGCCCGTCTAAAACTTCACGACTATTAATCATTTTGTACTTAGACACTGTTATCGGATTGACAGTGACTGTCAAATTAATGAAAACCTACGGAAATGCTGTTAAATTTCTAGAGTTCATTGCCCCACCTATTTGGGGGCACCAGGGCATTTGGGGACCTGGTACGGCCAAGTGTGGGGAGAGTCTGCTCTTCTAGAAATGCTCTCACATGGCCACGCGTATATAGCCTCTGCCAGGGAAGTCCTACTCACTGCCTTCTCGTACCACGGGTGTTGTTTACGAAATTGAGAGAACGAAAAGCGAATGTCTGGCGCTTTAACCGGGTTGGTGGACATGGAGAGTCCACCTATGATGCACATTGGCTCCAGTATCCTGAAGGAACAAATGGCGCATGAACCAATTGTTGGTCACTGACTACCATGGGACTGCATCGCCTTATGTTGCTCCACTGCCTTGTGGACCAGACCTTCAGGTCGAAGGCTCCGGGTGTGGCCCCCTAAGAAAACCACCTGCTTCGGTTTGGGCACTCGGGCAGTATTATAGCCCCCACACATATCAAATGAGATCTGTGTGGCACATATGTATTTGGTGCCTCCTTGTACCAATATCTATGTGTTAAAATAAATAAATAATCCCACTTATTCATTCTGATAGTAAATTATTAGAATATTTCTGAGCTTGACCTTTTAAAGATTAAATAATAAAATGACTGGAATGAATTCACCTATACGCATATATCTTAAGGCGAAAAAATTCCTTCTCTAGAAATATCACTAGTACATATTCTATTTACGAATTTCATATTTTATCATTTTCTAACTTATAAAATATTCCTTAATTAGTTTGGAACTTTAATCCCTTCTTTATTATATCAATAGTTACAATAATAAATTGAACTTGCCTCTTGTTTCTCTAGTTTTTGTTGTTCTTCATATCTATGAGTAATTTCATTAATATGAGTTTCTAATACCATTCCACCTAATACAAGTTCATTTAGTATGTAGTGTACCTATACAAAAAGATTAAAAACTTTTTTTAAAACAACAAATTACCTTATCTACATGAAAAATTAAATCAAGTTCACAAACATTCTCAAAACATTTATCTAATGCTTCAACAAATACTTGAATTAAATCCAATATGCCAAGTTCACTTTCAGATGAATCAACACAAAATACAAAATACAATGTTGCGTAATGACGATAAATTAATCTATAATCTTGTCCACCGACTAGTCTGTAAAAGACCAATATACAAAAACAGGGTATCTTACGTGCCACCTTCTAAAAAATTACAAACATCATCATCTCTTCTAGAGACCAAATGAAAAACTTCTTTGACAATTTTCTGTTGTTCATCTTCACTCTGTGATTGAGATACAGTAAACAACAATTTAAACATACATAGTGCTCATAAAACTTTATTAATCTTGGTTTTCCATGGTTATTAATAATAAGTATGGCACGAATCATCAACAGGAAATATCAAGGTGTATCCGAAACTAGCGTTGCATAAACTCTGTATCGCTTCAGTGAACCGAAAAAAACCTGAAGCAAAAATAAAAGACTTAAGTAGCCAACTTTTATGGAAGTAATAAAAAATTAAAGTTACTAGTGTTTGTCGATCGACATAAACATCACCATGAACGTTATCACAAGTCAAAGACTTTTAAGATGTTCAGTCAGTCAGTCATCTACAACGTAGGATCAGGTATATGTATGAATCGGTCCAAGTTGCCATACTTTTAATTAGTATTTACATGTTGAAGATAGTTAGAGCTAGTGACACGATGTACGATCAGGTTCAGCCTCACCCAAATGTATGGAGAGCTATTTTATCATTTATTTATTTAGTTGAACACATAAATATTGGTACAAGGCGGCACTGAATACATATGCGCTACACAAGTCACTTGACTTGTGTGTGGGCTGTGATACTTCCCGGGTGCCCAAACCGAAGCAGGTTGTTTTCTTAGACGGCCACACTCGAAGCCTTCGACCTAAAGATCCAATCCACAAGGCAGTGGAGCAACTTAAGGAGATGCAATCTCATGATTGTCGGTGGCCAACAATAGTCAGTCAGTCAGTCAGTAACAACGTGGAACTTAGTACGTACGTACATCAGTTCGAGTTGCCACACCACATTAGCACAAAGATGCAGTTGTCGACTCAAATTCTGTAGTGGTAGAGGTAGTAAGAGTATAAGCAGTAATCGGAAAGATTAGGGTTTGAAGATCTTATTCAAGTAGTATAATCCAGTGAAATAAATTTGGAAAGAAAATAAACGACCTGAAGAATTCAGAAGATTAGAATTTGGGAGAACACAAAGAGTGGATGCACCTGCACCATTGCAAACGATTTTGAGCCATGTCATTCAGGGTCTCTAACCATCGGTTGCTATCATCTCGTGGTCCCCAACCAGGTAGTCTACACCCACCAACATGGCTCAGTCCACTCGTCAGTGACTTCATGGATTCGTGCCACGTTTTGGTCTGGCCGCCCCTAACTTTCTTCCAGCCTACTCCTATACCAGAAAACATCGCACGTCGGGGCAGTCGGTGGTTGGGCATACGTAACACCTGTCCCAGCCATCTCAACTGATGAAGTTTCACTACTTCATCAATTGATTTGCCACCCTTATCTGGTACCCGTTTCCTAACAACTGCGTTACTTACTCGGTGATCCCAAGATGTACGAGCAATGTTTCGAAGGCATACTTCATTCGCTACCTCAGAATCCTGGAGCGTATGAGTACTATTAGTTTAGAATCAGAGTTTTCCAACTCTCCAAGGTAGATCCTCCGTGACCACCAAACCGGTTAAAGTGCCGGACATTCGCTTTTTGTCCTCTCAATTTTGTAAACAACACCCGTGGTACGAGGAGGCAGTGAGTAGGACTTCCCTGGCAATGGTTGTGTGCACGTGGCCATGTGAGAGCATTTCAAGAGGGAGAGCGGACTCTCCCCACACTTGGCCGTACCAGGGCATTTGAGAGCTAACATATCAGGTATTCATGAGTGTGCTGCTAAGACAGATTGGTCAGTAGATACCAGCTTATCAGTTGAAGAAGCATGGACTATATTTAAAGGCACGTTTAATTCAGTTACGTCCTCGTTTATACCATACCTGGTACAACGTAGACCGAATAACAGTCCACCATGAATAACTAAACAAGTCAAGAAACTTAATGGACGTAGGAAAAAGCTTTAGAATATATTCATCTCTACTGACAACAGCCCCCCTGAATGCCCTGGTACGGCCGAGAGTGGAGAGAGTCCGCTCTCCCTCTCGAAATACTCTCACACGGCCACGCGTATACAGCCTCTGCCAGGGAAGTCCTACTCATTGCCTTCTCGTGGCGGGGGTGTTGTCTACGAAAATGAGAGGACGAAAAGCGAATCTCTGGCGCTTTAACCGGATTCCAAATCAATGGTGCACATGGGCTCCAGTATCCTGCGGGAACGAATGGCGTATGAACCAATCGTTGGTCACCGGCTACCATGAGACTGCATCTCCTTACGATGCTCCACTGCCTTGTGGGTTAGACCTTTAGGTCAAAGGCTCGGGGAGTGGCCCCCTAAGATAACCACCTGCTTCGGTTTGGGCACCCGGGCAGTATCACAGCCCACACACAAATTGATGAACTCTTTATGCCTATGGAAATTACCTTTCTCGCTTTGAAAAACAAACAATTGATTCAGATTATTATCATTACAATTATTGTCATTATTAATACTAATATTATTATTACTACTATTTTTGTCATTATTGTTATTATTATCATTATTATTATTATTTTCCACATTATTCACCCTCTTTTATACCTATACAGCGGCTCGTCTTTGGTGGAAATCCGACTGTATCTAAACGTTCTCGAGTCACTGTCCGGTTGAAAATTGTATGTTACCACCGAATACGAGGACTGAAGCAGATTTTCTGAAACCACGTGCACCATTCAAACTGGCTGCCTTCAACGTTCGCACATTTATGCAGGTCGGACAACAGATAGGGCTGGCTATGTCTTTGGAAAGTCTTAATATCGACGTGTGTTGTCTATCCGAGACCCGTATTCAAGACTCTGGCGAAGTACTACAAATTCGATCTACATCTGTCGCTTCGAAAAGCTTGTTTTACGTGCGCTTATCCGGGGACCCTGTGGCATCTTCGTCTGGTCTTGCTGGCGTTGGTGTCGCACTAAGCGCTAGAGCTGAGGCAGCACTAGTCGATTGGATCCCCATTAACAGTCGGTTATGTGCTGTTAGATTAGAAAGTTCCATCAAAGTGAGAAGAAATCGGCGTGAGAAACGATGTCTTTTCGTCATCTCCGCTTATGCCCCGACAGATTGCAGCTCGGATGCAATCAAGGACGAGTTTTACCACTAGTTATCAGTTCTTCTCCAGAAAGTGCGTTCGACAGATATTGTAGTACTAGCCGGAGACTTGAATGCTCAGGTCGGGCGTCTAGGCACAGAAGAGAGTCGTTTAGGTGGCCGATGGGGACTCGTTGGTCGCAGGTCAGATAACGGGGACCGTCTACTGCAACTCTGCACAGACCACAACCTGTTTCTGGCTAGCACTAACTTTCGGCACAGTCATCGCCGATGTGCCACCTGGCGTCCTCCCTCTGCATCTCAAGCCTGGACTCAGATTGATCACATCGCGATCAGCTACCGCTGGCGTGGTTGTGTACAAGACTGCCGCTCCTTTTGGAGTACCTATCTGGACTCTGACCATGCCTTGGTCTGCGCCAATCTTGCCTTACTTTTCAGTGGACAACGAAGTGAACGCCATCAACGGATTGATGTTAGCAAGCTGGTTGCAACTTCTGTTGCAAGTAAGTATCGAACCGAGCTAGCCTCTAGGCTAGCTACCACTCCACCAAAAAGTATAGATGAGCATTGGTTGCAATTGCATGACGCCATGAAAATGGCGGGAACAGTCAGTTGTGGGTTTGCGAAACGTCCCGCTTTTAAGCACTGGGTTTCTTCTGGTTCCTTACAACTCATTGAAGCACGTCGGTCTACTCCGGGTGACCGTGAGTTTGACCATAAACGAAGGATGTTACGTAAGGAAATTGGGCAAAGCTTGCGTAAGGACCGAGAAGCCTGGTGGTCGATGCGTGCTAATGAGCTGGAAGCAGCAGCTGCATCTGGTAACTACCGGAAGCTCTTCCAGCTCATCCGAGCCACTGGCAGCAAGAAGTCTGGTGTGAGTGAAACAATCTGCGAGGATGATGGGATGCCAATCACTAACATCCATCGACGTCTTGGACGATGGGCAGAATTTTTCGAAGGGCAGTTCAACTGGCCTGCTGCTCCGGCAACATCGGTCAGACTGTCCTGCCCTCCATGGCCGGTGACGACTGATCCACCAAATGAGGAGGGAGTCCGCAAGGAACTCCAACTCTTGAAGCGTTACAAATCACCTGGCCCAAATGACTTACCTCCGGCTCTTTTTAAAGATGGTGGTGACTTTTTGACTAAGGAAATGACGACGTTGTTTACAAAGGTTTGGGAACTAGAGAGTGTACCAACGTCATGGAATGAGTCGATAGTTGTCCCTATCTTTAAAAAGGGTTCACGTCGTTCTTGTAACAACTATCGGGGGATAAGTCTACTTCCGATTGCGTCCAAGCTATTGGCTTCCGTCATTCTTCGTAGGTTGTTCAAAACCCGAGAAAGATTGACTCGCGAGGAGCAGGCTGGGTTTCGTTCTGGTCGAGGATGTATTGATCATATCTTCACCCTCCGCCAAATGTTAGAACACCGTCATACTTATCACAGACCAACAATCGTAGTGTTTCTTGACATCAGGGCTCCCTTCGATTCGTTGGATAGGACTGTTCTCTGGGATTGTCTATTGAAGAAGGGTGTGCCTGAGAAGTTTATTAACATCCTAAAAGCCCTGTATAAAAACACCTCAGGCAGAGTGAGGGCATACAACCACCTCTCTCCATTGTTCCATTCGAGCAGTGGGGTTAGGCAGGGTTGCCCAATCTCACCATTCCTCTTCAACTTCGCCATCGATGACATTCTGGAAACAGCTCCGATGAATGTAAGTAATGGTGGTGTGGATCTGTTGCCTGGAGAAAGACTTCTCGACCTTGAGTATGCGGACGATATTGTCTTACTGTGCGATAATGCCCAAGGCATGCAATCCGCACTTAATCAGTTGGCAATCAGTGTCCGTAGGTATGGGTGTGTGCTTTGCACCTTCGAAGTGCAAAGTACTTCTACAAGACTGGCAGGATTCTAATCCTGTACTCACCCTGGACGGTGAGCAGATAGACGTAGTTGAGAAGTTCGTGTATCTGGGTAGCTGCATAAGTGCTGGTGGGGGTGTGAGTGATGAGATCAATGCACGAATAGTGAAAGCCAGAGCGGCTTATGCCAATCTGGGCCACCTTTGGCGCCTTCGTGATGTTAGTCTGGCTGTAAAAGGCCGGATCTACAACGCGTCGGTGAGAGCAGTTTTGCTCTATGCTTGTGAAACCTGGCCTCTCCGAGTTGAGGACGTTAGACGACTCTCTGTGTTCGATCATCGCTGTCTTCGAAGGATTGCTGACATTCAGTGGCAACACCATGACAGTAATGCAGAGGTTCGGCATCGTGTGTTCGGGCACAGAGATGATAACTCAATTGGTGTCACCATCTTGAAACACCGACTTCGGTGGCTTGGACATGTTCTCCGAATGTCGTCCCAGAGAATTCCACGTCGTGCATTATTTGCCGACTCTGGGACTGGTTGGAAGAAGCGGAGAGGTGGTCAGTGCATGACATGGTGTCGTGGCATGAAAGAAAGCTGCAAAGGACTGGCTTGTGTTGGTCCTTCACGACTCCCTGGTTGGGGTCCGAGAGATGGTGCTACACAGTGGCTAGAGACGTTATCAGATATGGCTCAGAATAGAAGCCAGTGGCGATCCTGCTGTAACCTTCTTTTACTTTCTTCATAAAAAGTGGTTGTGTCTCCTTTACCTGAAAGATTTCTTCTGATTGTACCTTTTCGTTCCGTCGTTACTACCACACTACCTTACTCCAATCTCTTCGTCATTGTTCTCTTTTTCTTTTGCGTTCCATGGTTGTTTTTTTTCTCTTTCTACTTCTCTTCGAATTCCCATTGTTTTGTGTGGCGCATATATATTGGCGCTCTCTTGTACCAATATTTATGTGTTCAAATAAATAAATAAATAAAATAGATCCAGTTATTGTAAGACTAGAAAGGCTTGTAAAGCGATTATTATTAAGACTAGACTGTCACGAAAAACAATTGCTTAGGAATTTTGAAAATATTCCAAAACGGTTATTCTCGTATACAAAGAGGTGAACTCAAAAAAGTGATGGAATCCCATCACTTTTGGTACAAACAAATCCGTTCATGTTGACAAGAGATGAGGTCGAAAAAGCTGAAGCTTTATCGGAATATTTTAAGTGTTCTCTATCATTGATGCAGAACGACCAAGGATTAAGTGTGACTTTGGCGGCTTGTTGATAGATCTTGGAGTTATTGAGAAATGCACCGTCTTAAGACTACTTCAACATCTGAAACCTGACAAACCCAGTAGTTCTGACGACATTCACCATAGGATTATGAAAGCCATTGTCGAATGTAATTGCTGAAATTATAGTCATACTGTTTGATATGTCTCTGCGGCAGTCCAGAATGCCAGGAGACTGGAAAGACGCAATAATTAGTCTGGTGTATAAGGCGAGGAGTATAGATCTAGTTACTAACTACCGACCCGTTAGTCTAACCAATGCAGTTGTAAAACTAATGGAAAAGATTGTTCGGATGGCTGTTACAAGCTATGTAGAAGGACACAATCTTTTATCTGTGGAACAAGATAGTTTTCGGGAAGGCATGACATGTTTGACAAATCCGCTCATTGCAAGAGAAGATTGGGCCGCGGTAAAAGATAGAAACACTTCTGTAGATGTGATTCGCATAGACCTAAGAAAAGCCTCTGATAAGGTCTTTAATTCGTTTCTTAAATTAGAACTGGAAAGTTTTGGAATCCACTATAAGGTCAAAGACTGGATAAGCGACTTTCTCCTTGACAGGAGACAAGGGGTATGTGTAACTGGAGCTCTCTCATTGTGGGGACCTGTAAAAAGTAGAGTTCCCCAAGGCACATCTTCTCTTCTTACCTTATGTAAATGAATTGCAAACTAGGTCTTTTCAGTATTTGGATGAAATATTTAGATTATTATATCCAAGTCGATGACGCACGAAGCGCACAGAATGCACTTAAATTTAGAAAGGAAAGTAATAAATAATAATCAGCAATAGAAAATCCTCGGATCAAAACATTCCGTTGACCAAAACTAGACGTAGATATTTTGACCCAAAACACTTACCAAACAGCCAGTATGTGGACTCCAAGGTCGCAGAGGCCAAAAAAAAACAAACCGTGAAAGTAAATTGACAGTTATCAATATCTTTGCTGCAAACTAACACAAGCGTTTCAGTTTCTTTGTTTGGATCATGATGTTAAGCAGTGTTTATTGGTAGTCTTACCAATCGATGGCAGTTGCTACTGTGAATTTTCCTGGGATTGTTGTTGACAAGTATGGATTAAAGCAAATAACTGTATGAGAACATAAGATTCTGTTCTGAATTCTTGAGAATCCACCTAAATTCTCTTGGAGGATTCAAGACAAGTTTCTGTTGTTATCTGTTTTTTCTGGTCGTTTCAGTACTTGACTGCTTTTAAACGGTAAGAGATATGATTACATTCCGAACTACTATGTCCTGCATCTAACTTTTAATTATTCCTCATAAGATTGAGGGTCTGGGTGATGGTGGTCCCAGATGATGCAGGTTTTTTGTCTTGCTTGCGGCCGCGAACTTATACAGTGTCTCGTCATGACAGACTGAACCTATGGTCACTTCCGTTAGTCTCTTTCTCCAAGGACTTGGGTTCTTATTAGTTATTTTGGGTTATCTTTGAGCTTTATGACTTTCCACATCATAATCTGTCAAACGACTAAGAATCCCAAAGGCAGCCGGCCTGTACTATTTGTAAACATGAAACCACGTTACCCAGACAAGATGGTGGGGTTTTACATTATTAAGCCGTTATGGGAAATCAACAGAGGAAATAAGTGTAATTTAGTTAAGGCTGATCAATTAATGAAGCGGTGTGAGGCGATTCACCAAGAAAGTAGCTAAAACGGTATTTGAAATATGGATTGCTCATCTGGGTACCTCAGTTCACTTACATTCAGATAGAGGTACCAACTTTGAAAACATACTTTTTTCAAAACTCATGCCGTGCTGGGAATTCGCAATACACGAAAAATTGCCTACCATTTAGAAAGCAACAGGTTTGTTGAACGACCCAATTGAACACTCAAAACGCTACCAAAAGCATTTGTTATTCAGGAAGAAGCTAGATCACAGGACTCTGCCATATACATGTTTACTAACATATCGCGGTAACGTCCATACGCCCTTTGGACATACACCTCAGTTACTGTGGACAGAGAGGGGTGTATGGCTTCCAGCTGATTTCTTGCCGCCAACAATGCACTCAGAAACTCTCTTGGTGTCAGACACGGTTATGAAGCTTCGAGACGACATATCGAGGCATCATAGTATGACTCAAGTACATTTGGGCATGGTACAAAAACATCAGAGAGAGTATTATAATTAGAAGGCTCTTGAAGTACCCTTACAATCAGGATAAAAGTATGGTTAAGAACAAGAAACCTATCAACAAAGAAAGTAACTAAACTATGTAGAGAATAGACAGACCCTCATGAAATTGTCGAAGTCTTAGCGAAATCTTCGTATGAAATTAAAGACACCAGAAACGAATCTCGCTTACATATGGTCGCCCAATATAATCACCTAAAATTGTCTTGTGATCGTGTATGATATATGGTTAACTAAAAACTACACCTAAGTTACTTTTAAAACAATCGGTTCACGACTGCGTTTTGTTTTGTTTGTTACGTATTTCAAAGTGATCGAATAAGCAGTAAGAGCATTAAGAGAGAAGCGACCTGTGGTTTGAAGTTATTGATTGATTGGTCGGATCAGTACCTGTATTTGGACAGTCGCAGCTAGTTAGAGGCTCACTGAGACGAGAATGTACACACATCTGACAGTAATATTTACTCCAATGGCGATTCCAGACAACCTATCGAGTTGATGTCTATAGTTTTATTGTCACTGTTGCACCCTGTTTGACCGTATTAATATCCACTCGCATAAATTTCAGAACGTCAATAAAGCCGAGCAGTACTACATAATAATCATTGCAACGAGGCAAAATTGAAGGCTTTTGAATCTGTGGAATTATGTGGGGTTTGTGCTTGTTACCACAATAACAGACCTAATCTGAAATTCGTGTATTAGTCATGATTTGACTACCTAGTCTATAAGATCTAGTGTAGAGGTCACATCATTGTTTATACTAACTAGTCCTGTTGTGATAATCAGTACTATGATCTTTGGTACTTCTGAACATGCTCTGTCCGAGGATAAGGTAGTATATTTAATGCAAAGATATGAGTTACACAGATTAAGTAGGACCACCGGGATGAACCATCTCCTTTAGATTCTCGGTTCCAGACTTCATCATTTTTCAACCTCTAAGTGTCACAAATTGAATGCAAACTTTGTCAATAGTTATATGCTTGGCTTCAAAGATCATGTGGTTAAGGACAGACACCGCTACAAATCCACTAACGACTTTGGTGGAAACTCGTACGCTTGATTTGCATATTATTCATTTCGGGCCATTCGGCAGTTGCTGCTAATCCATAAGCCATTGCATACTATCCATTCAAGCATTCCTCCGTCTGAAAAACCAGTCACGGACGTTTTACAGTGTTCTGTAAACCGATGGATTTTTTCAACCAAATAAATCAACAAAACTAAAATAACGGTCGTTACAGATTCGCTCACCCATTTCCATTGATTTGTTGTGATGCAGTGTGTCAACGAAAAGACACCAAATGACACCATATCACGCGAATCAAAACTTTGAATGACAAGTGCATGTGGTTGACCAATATGTGATTTATTTCAAAACAGTAGACATATTTATGTGTATAAATGATTGCTGATTGATTTTTTCCAGTAAACATTCTTCATTCCTAGTGTCCTCACAAATAAAGCAATTCGGAGCCTGTATACAAGAAGCTCGTGCATTAGCATGTCTGGACACTGAGGGTTATACCATTCGGAATGCACCAGTAGAGTAAAACGACAATGAAATGACTCTTTGCTTACATCATGAGAAGATCGACTACTGAGGTTTGCTTTAGCTGGTGAACAGACCAGCCTCGTTTCGTTTCACTTTGAGGGAAAAAAGGATCTTACCAAGCCAATTCTTTGTGTAGATAAAAGGAGGACAAGACTTAAATCGCCACAGAAAGCAGCTGACCGTCACATATATCAGCTTCATTGAATGTATATTCGATCCATTCTAGGCATCTTTGAACTTCATCAACTTTATTAACATTTCGTGACATCTTTACATTTAGCTAGGCGGATTACTTGGATGAGTCCCCCCATTATTTGGGTTATTACTAGATATATTGAAATCGATCTTGTCACAAAGTCCACGTTATTCAGAATGCTTGGTTGAATCTTTTGTCCTGCGAAAGCATTAATAGTACAAATGTCGAAAATAACAATGCAACTTGTATTCTTTTGAAGGAGAGTGAAGCACGAACGTTTTTGTTCAACAGTGTTTTAGTAGAGACCTCATATCAGAGACCCGAAAAAATGACGAATAGATAGTAACTAAACTTGGCAAATAGTCAAGAATCCCTGGCTTTATGCCACTTGAGTTATCCTTTTTTAGCGTTCTTTTGTGAACTCTGAAATTGGCATCTATGTAGAATCATGGTCTACTTCAATATTAGTACCGCTGTAATAATAGACCTAATCCTAAAGTTGTAGATTTGTAATGGTGTAGCTGCTTAATCTATAAGATCTTACGAGGTAGTCACATCATCTTGTACACCAGTTGATTGCATTGTAACAATCATCAATATATGATGAAGAACAAGCTTAGACTAGAGATACTACCATGTATTTTATATGAGTAAAAGATGTAGGGTTGTAACAGCTTAGGTTGACTGGGTAAGAGTTCACCTCAAACAACTAAGCATATGTCAAAACAGCATAGTTCAAGTATTCATTCACTTTTTTATTTTGTATAGTCGTTGTATTTCCTATTATCATATATTGAATGTTGAGAGGCTTTGTTTGTCTCAACAGATAATCCCACACGCCACTGTGACTGCGCGAAGATCTAAATAAAGACCTATTCACAACTTGTCTGGTTTTTTTATTCAAGTGACATCGCTCTTTTGCGCCCTTTTTCAATTTTAGCGGCATGGATTTCTTCTCATCTTATGAACTCTTTTCTCGTTGCTAACTTTGTTGCTTCATAGTCACGATTCAGTCATGATTTGAGTGATTCCTCCTAAATCTTATTTTTATCTTCAACTCGTTTTAGGTGTTTATTATATTGATTTCGAAGTCGTTCAAGTTCATTCATTTGATCACGCCAGTTAGCCATCCCTCTCTCATAACTCTGTTGCGTGAAGCCAAAGGCGACAGCGGCAGGTGAATTTGAAGCATCTGATTCTAAAGACAGACCTCTCATCATCTGTGTAGTTTTCATTGTTGCGAAATGGCCAACAGAAGATGACGTGTCCGCTGGAGAGCTTATTTCAACAGAAGCTATACGGGAGGTTTCAGTGACCATGACCGGATCATTATGAGAAGTAGTCGAGAACCGACTAATACTTTAAGTTTCTCCGTTAATTATATCTGTCTTTGTCGGGGTAACAGAAGAACCCACAGTTTCAGAGATTGTGTCGTGGTACCTCAATTCATTGTTAGAATCAACTGAGATTGAATGATACACATGACCGTCGTTACTGAACTCCATATTAGCGTATAAATGACTGTTGATTTGGACAAGACGTGGATTTTGAGGATGTTGAGTTATACTACAATCCCCTTTGCTTAGTCTGTGTGAGCTCGATCGATTAGGCAGAGGTGAAGGTTGTGTTCCATTAAAATCGAATAAACCACCATGTCCACTAGCCGGATCGAATGTGCGAGATGGTGAGTTTTCATTTGAAATTGCATATACAAAGTGTTTGGGGGGTTATACACATGTTTCTGACCAGGACTAGTGCAGCTATCGAACAGATCACTACTAGCGCTACCCACGTTGTTCGAACAACTATCACCTACAAGATATTCGACCTAATCGTTTATGGAACTAGTATCATGACTGGTTTCCTCATCAATACATTTGTTAGAATCACGGTGCTGAGTTTGAAGAGACGCAAACTGCACTCAGATCCACCAATGTTTAATCCTTTGTGAGATTGCCTTAATATTCCAGAGACGAGGTTTGGTTCGTAGGAATTTCTTGCAGAAGCCTCAAGGTCTGCATTAGAGTCATCATATACAAACCCAGATTTCCTTGACATCGGGCTCTCCTGACTGCTGTTAAGTACGACCGAAGATGGAGAGTGACTAAAATTACTTTCATAGAGAATCTTTTCCATTTTTGACTAATCTGATTTTCTTGAACAGCTACAGCTGCTTTAGTTCGCTGAATTAACTCTGGAAGAATATGGGAAAAACGAAACACACTAGCCAAGAAGGGGTGTCTCATGGCTTGGGAACAAAACGGTCTTTCATTCATACCTTTTTGGAGAACAAACCGTACAAAATCCTGAAATTCATCGGACCAGTTACCTCCCACCAGCGTGGGGCATCATTTGAAGCAATTTGATATAACGCTGCCATAGGATTGGTAGCACTGAAGTAAGGAGGTTCCAACTAAGCCATTTCAATACAAGTAATTCTTAAAGGAGCAATCCAAAATGGGGTTCTCACGAAACTACTGGCCGGACTCACAAAACTAGCTGATCCGAAATCATCAATCTTTACGCCACCAGAGTCCGTAAGTAAATTATTAGCTGCTTTGATGTCTCGATGAATTCTTTTCTCAGAATGCAAGTAGTCAAAACCAGTTAGTACTTCCTGAACGATACAGGCGATTTCATCTTCTCGAAGTGGTTTTTTTGTGTACTTCTTAAACATCTGCAAGTGAGCCAATGAAGTATTCCATGATTAACCATGGAGTTTGCTCTTTCATGAAGCATCCTTTAGGCAATACACAGTTTTGTGTGCAACGTGAGAAAGAAATTTTCTCTCTTTAACGACGTCACTCCACTCTTCTTCTGACTTCTTACGTTTAATGTCAACCTTTAGTTCTTTGATAGCTACGATCTCACTTGTTATACGATTCCGAGCATAGTAAAGTGCTCAAAAGCTGCCGCAACTAATTTGGCGAAATTCAGTAAATACAGTCGTTGGATTTTCATGAATGAAATATTTTGACAACTCGGGGTCTTTAAAAACAGTTGTTTTGAGAGACTTAGGCATCGAGTTCTCATTCGTTGAGAAACCGGCAATATTCTTGCCTGATGTCAGCAAAACTTCAGACCTTTAGTGACCCACCTTGGTGGTGGATAAAAAGAAAAACAAGCACAAAGTTTATACTAATGTAAGAACTATGATGATTATTAAGATCCAGTTGGTTTAGATGGACTTGTTTGGCGAGCAAATGAACAGATATTCATGGACTATCGGCGATTGCCGAAAGAGTTAGTCGTAATTGATTGGAAGTCAAATAGTGAGCGAGTTGATAATTTCCCCTTGGGCTAAGAAAACAGAACTAAGGTGTTTTTGATAGACAGATTAGTCGAACCGACGTTCCTACGGAAGTCGATTCTAGGGGGGAGCTAACGTATCAGCTTAGACTGACTGGTTAAGAGTTCACCTCAAACAACTAAGCATATGTCAAAACAGCATAGTTCAAGTATTCATTCACTTTTTTATTTTGTATAGTCGTTGTATTTCCTATTATCATATATTGAATGTTGAGAGGCTTTGTTTGTCTCAACAGATAATCCCACACGCCACTGTGACTGCGCGAAGATCTAAATAAAGACCTATTCACTACTTGTCTGGTTTCTTCTACCACTAGCACGAAGTTTACCTAGAGGCACGAAAAGGTAACATTCAAAAGGGACCACGCCTGCAAGGCCTAGCCATGCCATACTATCAACTCGAATTAACCCAATTCCTTGTTCCCACGTTCTTCATAGTTAGGTTATTCTCCGCGTTAAACGATGTACATCTATTTCAACCACTGTCTCGTGTTCACTTTGATGATTGTGTTATTAGTGTCCAGTGCCACTACATATACCCTATGGTTTTTAAGGAAGGTTAAACCCTTTTTGTTTGTGGTGATAACGGCACTTTAGTTATATATTCTGATGGATAACAAAGTAAACAATGGCAAACCCTTTAGGTTACATTTTAAACTCTTCATTTAAATGAGTGAACAAGTTCAATGTGTGAGTAAAACGAGTATGCCTAGAACACGGTGAGGACAATAATGTTCAATATGACAGTTATAATTGATTTAAATACTTTTAATTCCTGTTGTGACAGTTCTGACCAAAAGGATGTTGATTCTTTTACGGGGGATAATATGCATCGAATGCAATCAAAAGTAACCCATTCTCAAAACTTACGACAGTAAACCTAGGGACCGGAGTAACGACCCATTTTCTTCTGCCTCATAAAGACAGCTTTCTAATGTTAATTACAAAAATTCCCTTTCCGATCACAGACCACACTTGTCTTCTATACCAGTTATTGCTATCTGCACTAGATTTGATGGCCATTTATTTCCCCTGAGGAAACCAAAACACATCACTACAAAGTAGCCTTCTTTTATAATTCCTTCTAACTGAATGCCATTTGCATCTTAGTTGCAACGAGGAGAAATATTCTCTGAACCACTGCTTCCGGGATACTCCTCCCCTGGTACCTTCTCTGTCCACATCAACAGCTCGTCCGATGTTTTCTCCTCGGTGTCGTTCTGGTCTTCCGTAGCAGGAGCCAGGTGATGATTGTTAACGATACGTTCAGCTTCCATCGTGAAAATTCCAAGCCATCCGTCATCTTAGAACTGTTGTTTCACGAAGGCATTTGAGCCTTGTGAGCAGCATGCATCATGTCCTCTCAAAAGTCTCTCCAGTGATAAGCAGTCGAAGGAGTGATTGCCAGCAAGTCAGTATGTATGCTCCCCTGTGCCCAGTCTGGAAAACACTCCTCTTATTCATGCTCAGCTGCCACCAAATTTGATCCACATAAATGTATACCTCTCTTGAATAACCTCTTCAACCGATAAATGTCGTTTTTGCCATAATAAATGAGTCGGAAGTAAGACTGAATACCATCTAGTGCGAAACTTAAAATCTCAGACAAACAAATACACATCAGTGGGATAAGCATGAAGCCTACTAAGCATATCTTCAGCCTCCACCCTCGTGAGCGTTTGTCTCAACAAACAGGAGTTCATTGTTAATCCACAGTCGCCATATTTTTTAGCAGTCTTGTCTTCAGGGCAGAGAAATACTATCTAAGGTTTCCTTGCGGCGATAACGATTGGCAGAGGCACCATGGCTAGTCAATTTAGGTGTTCAACGCAGGTCGGAGTGACCACTCGCTCTGTTGTATTCTTGACTAACTCGGGTTCCAACTCAAGGCTCACGCAACTGCACCGTGCCAAGTCATGTGTGTGCATGTGTAAAAGTATTGCAGTAGTCCTCAGGCCTATGTAGGCATATGCATAGGGTTTATGTATGTTGTCGTAAGAAGAAAACGTCAGCTGAAATATTGCCTGCCCTATGTTTAATAAAATCAGCTATCTAATCTGTGAGGTCGAAGACAATAAAAAGATATGTAAGAAAATACTAAGGAGATGCGGCCAACCCCCCCCCTTAGTGAATAATTATGTTTATGTGTGCTTGAGGACGGTCCTGTTGCAGCAGCTAAAAATTCATAGGGTATTTATGAAGAATTACCATCCCAGTGGAAATGGTTTGTGTCCAATAATCCCCTATACTGAGACAATGACACGAAATAAGAGTTCACTCAACTCCGCAAAAGTGATGACAATAAAAACAAACAATAATAATCTTGACGAAAAGAGAGCCGGTTGGTATTCAAACATTGCGTTTTACTTACTAAATTTAAAACACAATTCCGAACGTTCACTCCTTTTAAACCACTTCCATTTGCATAATTCTGTATTCATACAATGCCGTGCTTTGTCTTGTTTTATTTACTCTGATGGAATATACTTGCTTAGTAACCTTTAAAAAGAGAATGAGTCTAAGTATTTATACCTTAATTATTCCATCGCAAATGATTAGACTTCACTGACCATGGACATTGTCTGTACCGCTTATTTTACTTTCTCTCTCTTTTTTTCAGCATTCATATGGCATACTATCGAAAACATATATGTAACACATAACTTCCTCCTGCATCATCACTTATGCCACCAGGAATTATCTGAAGTCACTACCAAGAAGCATGAAATAGTACGTTAAAGCGGATGTGTACGACTGACTGCTTTGGAATTTAGTTCTGTAGTGGCGTTGGACCCTAATCACACAATCATCAAAACCGAAAACGAGACAACTGAGAAAATAGATATCTAAAATTTAACGCGGAGAATAACCCAACGATGAAGAAGACGAGAAGAAATAATTCGTTTAATTCGAATTCATCGGATGGCCTGTTTCGGCCTTGAGTGTTGTTTTAAACACTTTATTCATATTAAATATATTGTTGTATATCTAGCCTAAGTGTGTTCTTCAT